CAATTCGAAAAGCTTTTCTGTGTTAGTTTTTACGGCGCTAACAAGTCTGCATACTTGGTTTTAAGATTTAGAAAATTCAATTTTTTGTCGAATTTTGCAAATTTTAATGATGTAACCCCTTATAAAATTTCAAATTTTCGACAAATTTTGAAAATTGTATTTTTCGTTCAGACACGGCTCGATGGACTCGCCTGTTAATGCTGATCACAAATATATATGATTTATGGGGTCGGAAATGTCTCCTTCACTGCGTTACAGGCTTCTGACTGAATACTCTGCATACTCCATTTAAAGTTTTAAAATCTTAAAATGACCGAAATCATAATGCCATTCTTCGAGCAGATATCTTTATTCATATATTTATACGATATTTTTTATAAAAATCAATATTTAAAACTTCATAACTCAGCCAAAAATGCATTAATTTTAAATCGGAAAGCTTTACTGTGATCTTTGTTAGCAGGTTAACAAATGAAAGTAAAATACCATTTTTGAGACAATATTTATCACAATTTTATGATAGTTTTTTCTACAAATCAAAGTTTAAAAAATTCATTACTAAGTCAAAAATGCATTAATTTTAGATCGGAAAGCTTAACTGTGTTCTTTGTTATCAGGTTAACAAATCTGCATACTCCATTTAAAGTTTTAAAATCTTAAAATGACTGAAATCATAATGCCATTCTTCGAGCAGATATCTTTATTCATATATTTATACGATATTTTTTTACAAAAAATCAATATTTAAAAACTTCATAACTCAGCCAAAAATGCATTAATTTTAAATCGGAAAGCTTTACTGTGATCTTTGTTAGCAGGTTAACAAATGAAAGTAAAATACCATTTTTGAGACAATATTTATCACAATTTTATGATAGTTTTTTCTACAAATCAAAGTTTAAAAAATTCATTACTAAGTCAAAAATGCATTAATTTTAGATCGGAAAGCTTAACTGTGTTCTTTGTTATCAGGTTAACAAATCTGCATACTCCATTTAAAGTTTTAAAATCTTAAAATGACTGAAATCATAATGCCATTCTTCGAGCAGATATCTTTATTCATATATTTATACGATCTTTTTTACAACAAATCAATATTTAAAAACTTCATAACTCAGCCAAAAATGCATTAATTTTAAATCGGAAAGCTTTACTGTGTTCTTTGTTAGCAGGTTAACAAATCTGCATACTCACTTTTTATTTAAAAAACTTAGGTGACTGAAATTTTATTACCATTCTGTCAGCCAATATTTATCTATATTTTTAGATGACATTTTTTCTACAAATCAAAAACTAAAAAACCCATAACTAAGCCAAAAATTCATTAATTTCAATTCGAAAAGCTTTTCTGTGTTAGTTTTTACGGCGCTAACAAGTCTGCATACTTGGTTTTAAGATTTAGAAAATTCAATTTTTTGTCGAATTTTGCAAATTTTAATGATGTAACCCCTTATAAAAATTTCAAATTTTCGACAAATTTTGAAAATTGTATTTTTCGTTCAGACACGGCTCGATGGACTCGCCTGTTAATGCTGATCACAAATATATATGATTTATGGGGTCGGAAATGTCTCCTTCACTGCGTTACAGGCTTCTGACTGAAAGTAAAATACCATTTTTGAGACAATATTTATCACAATTTTATGATAGTTTTTTCTACAAATCAAAGTTTAAAAAATTCATTACTAAGTCAAAAATGCATTAATTTTAGATCGGAAAGCTTAACTGTGTTCTTTGTTATCAGGTTAACAAATCTGCATACTCCATTTAAAGTTTTAAAATCTTAAAATGACTGAAATCATAATGCCATTCTTCGAGCAGATATCTTTATTCATATATTTATACGATATTTTTTTACAAAAAATCAATATTTAAAAACTTCATAACTCAGCCAAAAATGCATTAATTTTAAATCGGAAAGCTTTACTGTGTTCTTTGTTAGCAGGTTAACAAATCTGCATACTCACTTTTTATTTAAAAAAACTTAGGTGACTGAAATTTTATTACCATTCTGTCAGCCAATATTTATCTATATTTTTAGATGACATTTTTTTTACAAATCAAAAACTAAAAAACGCATAACTAAGCCAAAAATTCATTAATTTCAATTCGAAAAGCTTTTCTGTGTTAGTTTTTACGGCGCTAACAAGTCTGCATACTTGGTTTTAAGATTTAGAAAATTCAATTTTTTGTCGAATTTTGCAAATTTTAATGATGTAACCCCTTATAAAAATTTCAAATTTTCGACAAATTTTGAAAATTGTATTTTTCGTTCAGACACGGCTCGATGGACTCGCCTGTTAATGCTGATCACAAATATATATGATTTATGGGGTCGGAAATGTCTCCTTCACTGCGTTACAGGCTTCTGACTGAAAGTAAAATACCATTTTTGAGACAATATTTATCACAATTTTATGATAGTTTTTTCTACAAATCAAAGTTTAAAAAATTCATTACTAAGTCAAAAATGCATTAATTTTATATCGGAAAGCTTAACTGTGTTCTTTGTTATCAGGTTAACAAATCTGCATACTCCATTTAAAGTTTTAAAATCTTAAAATGACTGAAATCATAATGCCATTCTTCGAGCAGATATCTTTATTCATATATTTATACGATATTTTTTTACAAAAAATCAATATTTAAAAACTTCATAACTCAGCCAAAAATGCATTAATTTTAAATCGGAAAGCTTTACTGTGTTCTTTGTTAGCAGGTTAACAAATCTGCATACTCACTTTTTATTTAAAAAAACTTAGGTGACTGAAATTTTATTACCATTCTGTCAGCCAATATTTATCTATATTTTTAGATGACATTTTTTCTACAAATCAAAAACTAAAAAACGCATAACTAAGCCAAAATTCATTAATTTCAATTCGAAAAGCTTTTCTGTGTTAGTTTTTACGGCGCTAACAAGTCTGCATACTTGGTTTTAAGATTTCGAAAATTCAATTTTGTGTCGAATTTTGCAAATTTTAATGATGTAACCCCTTATAAAAATTTCAAATTTTCGACAAATTTTGAAAATTGTATTTTTCGTTCAGACACGGCTCGATGGACTCGCCTGTTAATGCTGATCACAAATATATATGATTTATGGGGTCGGAAATGTCTCCTTCACTGCGTTACAGGCTTCTGACTGAAAGTAAAATACCATTTTTGAGACAATATTTATCACAATTTTATGATAGTTTTTTCTACAAATCAAAGTTTAAAAAATTCATTACTAAGTCAAAAATGAATTAATTTTAGATCGGAAAGCTTAACTGTGTTCTTTGTTATCAGGTTAACAAATCTGCATACTCCATTTAAAGTTTTAAAATCTTAAAATGACTGAAATCATAATGCCATTCTTCGAGCAGATATCTTTATTCATATATTTATACGATATTTTTTTACAAAAAATCTATATTTAAAAACTTCATAACTCAGCCAAAAATGCATTAATTTTAAATCGGAAAGCTTTACTGTGTTCTTTGTTAGCAGGTTAACAAATCTGCATACTCACTTTTTATTTAAAAAAACTTAAGTGACTGAAATTTTATTACCATTCTGTCAGCCAATATTTATCTATATTTTTAGATGACATTTTTTCTACAAATCAAAAACTAAAAAACGCATAACTAAGCCAAAAATTCATTAATTTCAATTCGAAAAGCTTTTCTGTGTTAGTTTTTACGGCGCTAACAAGTCTGCATACTTGGTTTTAAGATTTAGAAAATTCAATTTTTTGTCGAATTTTGCAAATTTTAATGATGTAACCCCTTATAAAAATTTCAAATTTTCGACAAATTTTGAAAATTATATTTTTCGTTCAGACACGGCTCGATGGACTCGCCTGTTAATGCTGATCACAAATATATATGATTTATGGGGTCGGAAATGTCTCCTTCACTGCGTTACAGGCTTCTGACTGAAAGTAAAATACCATTTTTGAGACAATATTTATCACAATTTTATGATAGTTTTTTCTACAAATCAAAGTTTAAAAAATTCATTACTAAGTCAAAAATGCATTAATTTTAGATCGGAAAGCTTAACTGTGTTCTTTGTTATCAGGTTAACAAATCTGCATACTCCATTTAAAGTTTTAAAATCTTAAAATGACTGAAATCATAATGCCATTCTTCGAGCAGATATCTTTATTCATATATTTATACGATATTTTTTTACAAAAAATCAATATTTAAAAACTTCATAACTCGATGGACTCGCCTGTTAATGCTGATCACAAATATATATGATTTATGGGGTCGGAAATGTCTCCTTCACTGCGTTACAGGCTTCTGACTGAAAGTAAAATACCATTTTTGAGACAATATTTATCACAATTTTATGATAGTTTTTTCTACAAATCGCTTAACTGTGTTCTTTGTTATCAGGTTAACAAATCTGCATACTCCATTTAAAGTTTTAAAATCTTAAAATGACTGAAATCATAATGCCATTCTTCGAGCAGATATCTTTATTCATATATTTTTTACGATCTTTTTTCACAACAAATCAATATTTAAAAACTTCATAACTCAGCCAAAAATGCATTAATTTTAAATCGGAAAGCTTTACTGTGTTCTTTGTTAGCAGGTTAACAAATCTGCATACTCAATTTTTATTTGAAAAAACTTAAGTGACTGAAATTTTATTACCATTCTGTCAGCCAATATTTATCTATATTTTTAGATGACATTTTTTCTACAAATCAAAAACTAAAAAACGCATAACTAAGCCAAAAATTCATTAATTTCAATTCGAAAAGCTTTTCTGTGTTAGTTTTTACGGCGCTAACAAGTCTGCATACTTGGTTTTAAGATTTCGAAAATTCAATTTTGTGTCGAATTTTGCAAATTTTAATGATGTAACCCCTTATAAAAATTTCAAATTTTCGACAAATTTTGAAAATTGTATTTTTCGTTCAGACACGGCTCGATGGACTCGCCTGTTAATGCTGATCACAAATATATATGATTTATGGGGTCGGAAATGTCTCCTTCACTGCGTTACAGGCTTCTGACTGAAAGTAAAATACCATTTTTGAGACAATATTTATCACAATTTTATGATAGTTTTTTCTACAAATCAAAGTTTAAAAAATTCATTACTAAGTCAAAAATGCATTAATTTTAGATCGGAAAGCTTAACTGTGTTCTTTGTTATCAGGTTAACAAATCTGCATACTCCATTTAAAGTTTTAAAATCTTAAAGTGACTGAAATTTTAAAGCCAATCTTAGAGCAGGTATCTTTATCCATATTTTTATACGTCAATTTTATGATACATTGTACATTCGAACCCATATTTCTATTGCTAACTGCAATGGTGTATTGTTATTTGATTGTTTTTACTGAGCTTGGGTTGATTTTTTTCAGATATTGGCGACCGCCTGATCGAGGTGATTGGTCTGGAGAACTGCCTGCACATGGGTCAGGTGAGAACCGGACTGCGTGCCTCCGGACGCCGGCTGGCCCAGTGCAGCGAAGTGATCATCAAGACAAAGAAGACGTTTCCCATGCAAATCGACGGCGAGCCCTGGATGCAGATGCCGTGCACGGTGAGATCTGTACATAGCTCGAGTTTTCTATATTATATATCCATATTAATCCTCTACAGATCAAGGTGACCCACAAAAACCAGGTGCCCATGCTGATGGCACCGCGATCGGAGAAGGGACGTGGGTTCTTCAACCTGCTGTGCAGCTGATTCAGGCGCAGCGCATCGAGCGACTTCATGGGCCGCCCGCCGCCCGAGTCCGCCGATGAGCTGGACGATGACTTTCGGATCGTCACTAGGAGCACCACCGTCCATAACATAGCCTAGCACCAATAGCTTTAGCCCTAGTCCAGCCGCATCGATTGCATCGAATTCGTTTACCCTAGGTTAAGGCTTCCCTCCGATGTGCGTATTTGTATATGTATGTCGAGTGAGTTACAGAGCTTTATATTTAGTGTTAGTGTAGCCAAATATACAACCCAGTCTAGTCCATTCCATTCCAATGGGATCCGAGTGCGGAGCAGGCTGTACGTGGCCACTGGCCACCACGAGATCAACTCAGTGTTAACCTTGCGAAGCTTTAGGTGTACATTTACTCGCGTGCCACAGAATATTTTAAGAACACTTTAGAAAGCGATAACATAGCGAAAATTGTCCAATGATGCAACTGAAATGAGACCAACAACCAAACAAACAAACAACCAGAAGAAACCACAACTAAGCAGCATTGTAGTGCGAATTTTATGCATTAGGCTAAGTAATTTATTCCGTCATCTAGCCGGACGGCATCTGTGGGTAGTGCTGCTTGGATCGAAGAGAACTATACCCGAAAACATATCACAATTTCCGACACCGAGCAGCCTTGTCAGCTTGTCAGAGATTTCATTCGGGCAGCACTCTCCACAGCAACTTTAATTCTTATTTTTTACCATGTATATTGTACATATAGAGAAATCAAATGTAACTTGATATGCAAATGTCAACTAAATGGTGCAGCTTTAAACGAAATTTTATATATATATGAGTGCATATATGGAGATGACAAGAATCGGATGTTAAATAATACTATAAATTTGTATATTTCATAAAATCATATATGTATGTATGTATGTAAAATACCACTAAGATCCTTACACAAATACAAAAAATACTCATAGTCGGAACAAGTATATGTACATTGTTAGGAAATACAACACCAAAATAGCCACGATTCCAATGAATAATCAAAGGGAGGGCCCAACAATACCCACCAAATGCAATTTTCACTATGAACACAAACATTCCACATCGATTTATTCGGTTCTCCATATATTCAAATTGCATTTTAAGTAAATAGGCAAAGGTTCTTTCGTTCGAATGTAAATTGAAACCTTAAAAAGCAGGAAATAGTGCAAAATGTAATGCCAAATAATATGGTTTGTTGAATGGTATATCCCAAGCATATATTTAAATTATATATAAATAATCATAATAATATAACTTGTAAGAGTCCTTTGATAAAAATTCCAAAAACTAACCAAATACTTTTGAAAACATGAACATGTTAGGGAGGTCGGAAGATATGGATATTGAAAGTCTCTTTATAAACCGAATTATTGCAATTATTTCGGAATTTTGTTTGATATACAGATAACAGAGATAAATTAATTAAATAAGAGTTTTCTGATAGTTTTAAAACTTTTCAATTTTGAACAATTCATATATCAAAGTTTACGATATTCACGATATTTATCAATATATTATATCAAAGGATTTTTCGATATACATCCCAAACACATGTTTTGTTAACTAACTTATAAGAGGAGCGTAAATACAGTTGACTTCCCAGCCAATTTGGCTTAGGGAGGATCATTAGTCTCATCTTTGCTAAGTAGTTCAGATAAAACATTAGATTCCGAATCAAAATAATTGCTACTATTTTCAGTACTTAGAACCATAGAACTGTATAGTTTAGAGCAGACATTGTTCCTTTTTTAGATCCCATTGAGTTTACCTCCCATCCTTATCCCTTATATAATGGATACTCCTCACACAACAACCAATCGTTTTAGCACTTTTAAATCCACCTGTCCATAGGAAGCATATTATATCAATGTACGTGAACGTGTCTTGAGTGGGATTACAATTCCGACAGCCAAGTTATTACATAAAAATCTATTTTATTTTGCAAATAAACATTTTCAATGCGATTCCTCTCGCCCACAGGTCCTTGGGAGGACTTTGTGTCGGCGCTTGGGGTGCCGCTGATGCCACACAGTAGCCAGTTAACATTAATTATAAATGAACCACTTAACATTAGTAAAATGCAAAGCAAAGCGGCTCAACTTAGGCCGGGCTTGTGTACAGTACAACTAGGCTTAAGTATATATATCTGTCTAAAAGTATATACTATTAATACTATGAAATAATCGAAACAGTAACTACTAGATGATATTACCCTTGAAATTAACGAAGAGAGAGCGAGTGGAACTCGAGCCTACTATATACCGCTTAGTAATAGTAACAATATTTATCGCATAAGTAGAAGAATTATAATCTGTGTACAAAGCTCGGTTCCTTTCGTAGGTTTACTCAAGCATTTCGGTTTACAATTAGAATAAACACTGAAGTGTAGCTTCACCAAATACTATGGAATCGCTATATAATAAATACAATAACAGTTTTTCCGCATCTACTGTACAATTCGGATCTTCACTAGTGCCAAGTACTTAAAGAGATGCGGCAGGCCCCAAGATGATGCCATATAGCCTATTAAAACCACCATAAGGTAGCGAATTGAATGTAAAACTGTAACATAAGCCATATTATCCACAAATGTATACTCTCCTATAACCAGTGTTTAAAACAACCACCAATAAATGCGAATTATGTGTACGTACTCTAGGGGCTGAGGCCATAGGCATTCTGCAGATACAACTTCACCTGGGGACCGTATAGGCTGATGAAGGTGAGCACCTGATTGTTACTCGGCTGGCCGAATTGCTTCAGAACTTCGGCGGTGCGACAAGGATGCAGGGCCATGAAGGGCTTGAAGAGAACGGGATGGTCCATTTGGGTCAGTATCTGGTATAGCTCACTGGCCTTACTGTCCGGCATGAAGCATTGCCAGGTTGCGTCCAGATCTAGAAGACTGCCATCTGTAATGAGGAAATTGTTAGGATATACATATGTACGTATATTTAATCCAGTTGAGTTACCCGATCTGTGAGCCTGGAAAAACAGCATGGGCACTTGATAGGAGACACTGTAGACTACATGATAATCCACATTAATTAGCTCTCCACTTTTACTCTTTATCTTTTGACTAAACTTGAGGAAAGTGTTCGGTTCATTCATGTCCTGGAAGTAAGATACATTAAGGAGATCCCACATATAAAGCAGCGAAGCATACGAACCTTCTCTTGGAGCATCCAACTATCGCCCAACTGATGGGAAATGTCCAGAAACTGCTTGGCCTGACTGAGAAACTCGTTCCAGCTCATATCACCCATAGTGCGGCTGCTGTAAATAAAGAAAATTAATAAAATTAATTATCAGTGTTTAATTAAATGTCAAGTTAACCCCAAGTGAGAAAAAAAACTTCACTTTGCGTGGGAAACAAGCCTCAAACATGTGTATATTTCAGAATGTTCTGAATCGAAACGCCAAAGGTTAAAGCTCCTCAACATTATACACTTAAAGGCTAAACACAAGTTGTCAAAGAACAAATATCAATTGCAATTATCTGTAAGTTAAGCGGAGCGCGGATCGCCGTCTAAGCCGGTAACCTGCACATTCTCATTCCGCCGAACCTGGACCACAGTCACTGAGGCGGCTTTGTCGTCGAATTTGCACGTCACCGTGACCTCCCTTAGCTGGAAGGTGAATATTTGCGAGCCGTATTTTGTGCGTAAGTAAACGGAGCGTGGATCCGCCTCCAATATGTCCACGATACACTGCTTCTCCACCTGCAACTCCTTCAGCTGGGCCTCGGCATGCTCGTTGAAGGTCACGCTCAGCCGATGGCTGGCCACCACCCAGTTGGGCACACGCACAGCGCTTGGCGGCGGCAGCACTGCATCCCCTCCGACCCCAGAGTTGCCCGAGAAACCAGCGGCGCCATACAGCTCCAAGTCGGACTCCTCGCCATCGGGCTCCTGCCGGGAGTCGTAAAAATCGAGACTGTTCTCATGCGGTCCAGCTGAAGAACGACCTGTCCAAAGGGGCAAGCAATATCTTTAGTGTGCTTTCTGACTTTCTGGTCGGCGAACGTACCTGAGTCAACGCTCAGGGATGGCGCATCGTAGTATGGAATGTAGGGCTTTATGTCCAGCACTGGCGTCCCATCCACCATGTCCGTGCCAAAGAAACTGATGGTGGCATTCTCGATCTTCTCAATTTCAACTAAAGATAAACCAATTGGGCAGGGGCGGTGTGGGGAACGAGTGGAGAACACGCCCACGCGCTCGCCACCGAGACGCGGCGGCGCCACCTTTGCCTTGGGATGAGCGTTGTTGCGGTGGAAGTGATAGATAAGCCACAGATGGGAAAAGTCTCCCAGTCCTTCTAAGGAGTGCTCCGGATTGGTGAACACGCCGTCGTTCAGCTGGATGATGCCCCTTAATCGGCTGCCCACAATCGATTGCCTGGGGACGGCTCGCTTCTCCGGGAAGGCCGTCCGTATCACTCCGATTGGGCGAAAGTGTGCTAAATCCTCTCCGTGGCCGAGTCCGCCGGGGTTGCAATTGCTCTGCGATGGAGGATTGGATGTTGAGAGATGTATGTGTGTGTAGGGTCAAACGCACCTGACCCTGGCTGTGACCTTGTCCTTGCTCCTGCGCCCGTTCACGCTGGTGCTCCTGTGTCTCCTTTTCACCCGCGGCCTTGTCCTTGACGCCCTTGTTCTTGCTCGCACATCCCTCGCAGCGAAAGTCTTGCAGCAGGCGGTTTATCGTTTCGATGTCCTTGCGCTGCACATGTTGCAGATTGCGCACTTGCTGCCTGCACCATGGTCAAGGCGAAATCAGAACGAACTTGAACTTTAACAGCCCCTGAGGACCCTAGGATTCTGTCTCAAACGCACCTCAGATTGTTGATCTCGTTCCGCGCAATGGTCAGTTGACTCTTCAGGTCATCCTCGTGCATGTTCTCAACCGGCGTCACGCCACGCACTTGGCTCCCAAAATGTTTAAACTCTTCTGTTATTGCTAAATATTTATTTACCTTCCCGTATTCGTCCAACTGTGCTGCCAACTCGGGTCTTACAAAAGCTTAAAAGGCAATCGATAACTGCCGAAAACAGCGATAGTGATGCCATTTTGGCTAACTCGCTGGACATATCGGCTAATAGACTGGAAAGAAAGTGTGGTTACAGAGTTTTGGATTGCTTAGATTGCTTGGATTTATAGGCACAATTTTTAATGGTCATCGATATGAAATCTAAATGTGTTTTGTTTTAAAGTGAACGATTCATTTAAACCCGTAGTGTTTTTTTGGCTAGGTTCCTTATTCGATTAACTCATTCGATAAGCGATTAACTTCAAACAAATCCCAGGGCGCGTTGCGTTTCGGCATTTTTAGGCCCAAATCTATTGGGAATGACAATCTGAATTTTGCACTTTCGATTGAAGCGACATTTCAAGCCGTATATAAATTGTAAATTGTCACTGTTCGAACGGTAAGTGCGGTCCTGAAGGTGGGTTTCTCGTGGTCTAAGCGGTATATTCCTCCCATAACAGCAAGTAAATACATAGCACGCATCCAAAATGTCTCGCGGAAGTTCAGCCGGCTTTGACAGACACATCACGATCTTTTCGCCAGAGGGACGCCTTTACCAAGTGGGTGAGTATCCGGGAATTCACCACATCGGCTTTCATCTACTAACCCCTATCCCATCGCAGAGTATGCCTTCAAGGCCATTAGCCAGGAGAACATGACCACGGTGGCCCTGAAGAGCGGCGACTGTGCCGTAGTGGCCACCCAGAAGAAGGTGACTGAGAAGAACATTGTGCCGGACAGTGTAACTCATCTGTTCCGTGTGACCAGCGACATTGGCTGCGCCATGACTGGACGCATAGGTAGGTACCTAACTTAAGGAACTTGATCACTAATGCTGTACATTGTACCTCTACTTTGTGTTTTCTTTAGCCGATTCCCGCTCGCAGGTGCAAAAGGCCAGGCACGAGGCCGCCAATTTCCGCTACAAGTACGGCTACGACATGCCCGTGGATGTGCTCTGCCAGCGCATCGCCGACATCAACCAGGTGTACACCCAGAACGCCGAGATGCGTCCGCTCGGCTGCAGCATGGTTTTGATCGCCTATGACGATGAGATCGGACCCAGCGTTTACAAGACCGACCCGGCCGGCTACTACAGCGGCTTCCGCGCCTGCTCCGTGGGCGCCAAGTCACTGGAGGCCAACAGCTATCTAGAAAAGAAGTACAAGAACAACCTGTCCGAGGAGAAAGCCATTCAGCTAGCCATTACCTGTTTGTCCACGGTGCTGGCCATTGACTTCAAGCCCAACGGCATTGAGATCGGCGTGGTCAGCAAGACAGATCCCAAATTCCGCATCCTGGACGAAAGGGAAATCGAGGAGCACCTCACCAAGATCGCAGAGAAGGACTGAGTTCTGTCCAGTTAGCTGTAATTTTGTCATATTCTAAAGCCTCTTCATGGAACTCTGGTTAAATACAAAAATGCTCTTGGCTTGCATTCAAAACAAAGGCAAAGACAACAATCCCAACAGTTTATTCCTTCCTCTTGTGCACCTTGCCCCCATATCGCATGACGAAGGCGTTCACATCGAACTTTCGTCGGCAGCCCTGGTAGTTCATGTACCGAATCTTGCCAAAGATGGCCCGCTCCTTCCAGCCCATATCGTGGACGCCGCCGATGGACCACATGCAACCCACATAGCCGTTTGGATCGCGCCCGTCCAGACTGTACTTGTCGTTCAGTAAAATGGCGTACTCAAGCGCCTGCTCCGGCGTGGGGCTCCATTCGAGGATCTTTTTGGCCCAGTACATGCGCAGGAAGCCGTGCATCTTGCCCTCGCGAACCAGCTGCAATTGCGCCGAGTTCCAGAGGTCGTCGTAGGTGAGGGACTGTGGAAAGAAAGGGTTATCTTATAAGTACCAGCACGAGGACATGGCTAGTCTACACTCTACCTTCTCTAGTTCCTCGAGGCTGTAGCAGGGATCCCTCTTATCCTTGCGATGGGCATCCAGCGTTTGGTAGGCCCAAGCTGTAAGACCTTTCAGGCTGTCGTAATGCTCGTTGTAATAGCAAAAGTTATCCGCCAGCTCACGGCGAACAATAGCTTCCTCGCAAAAGGCATCGGCAGAGGCTTTGTGCTGCCCCCGGAATCGCTGCACCTCCAGGGCACAGCGCTGGGCGGAGATATGGCCAAAGTGCAGCCACGGCGAGAGACCGGACAGAGCGTCGGCCATGGGATCGTTTCGCTTATCGTTGAAGTGCCGCAGGCGCCGGCTGCAAAACTCGTAGAGCTGTTGGCAGGCGGCCTTGTAGCCGGGCTTAGCCCAATCCACCTCGCCAACGTCCGTGTCGCACTGCAATGTAGCATAAGCTGCTGGCCAGTCCACGGGTTTCACACCCTGGCAGCCCGTTCCGTGGGGATGCTTGACTACGGCCGGAAATTCGGTAAGAAACTCTCCCAGCTTGGAGTTAATCTTGTTGCGAATGGTGCGGGCAGCATATTCCTGCTTGTCCGAGGTCACCCACAGCGGCACCACATTATGGGCATCTACTTGCACCAGGGGCACACTCTTGGGCAGCGCCTTTCCCACATCCTCGACCCACTGTCGGGGCAGACGCAGCGGAGCAAAGTCGCAGACTACAGCTCCCATGTCTTGTGATTTTACGAATTCCGGCAACCGCTGTACGGCAGGCCCTAGGAGCAGATGAAAGGGTATGTCCAAGGAGCGGCACTGCTGCTCCACCTCCTCCAGGCCAGCCATCAGAAACTTGTAGTGTCGTATGGTGGCATTGAGGAACTTGGGCACCAGACAAAACACCACCGTCAGCGGCAGCTCTAGCTTCAGGGCCAAGCGCTGGGCGAAGAGCAGGGCCCAGTTATCCTGCACGCGGGCATCGCGCGACATCCAGTAGACGACGCCGCCTTGACAGGATTCCTCCACATCGGCGCTTTTGGACAGCACGCGCACGCGTTTCTTTCGGAATGGGAACTCCTGGATGTTGGCTGCTGTCGCGGATCGCTGGTGTTCTAGGTGGTCGATGAACTGCTCGAGATTCTGATAGTCCGGCTTGGACAGGGAAGCCTTCGAGGTAGATGCTACTTCATCACCACTGAAGCCGCTCGAATTCTGGTCACTATTTGATTCTTTCTTTGGGCTTTTCTCCTGCTTTTTAGCAACCTTTTTGGAGGGTCCTGCCTTCGCCGCTTGGGTCCGCTTCATAGTGCGCAGCGCTGAGATCTGGAGGGACTGTAAATTATCTATTTGCGATTCAGTAATTTGTGTAAACTCACAATCTTGAAATAATCGCGCCAATTAGACAAAATACGGTGCATTCTTTTAGGGTGACAACTCTATCAGCTGCTTTTGTTCTTTTAAAGTATGACCTGAAAAACGCGCTTTTCAGTAACAACAAATTGTTTGTACGATATTTTCAACATGAAATCAAATTCAGAATTATAATTATTAACGGAACTACTTGATTAAATAATTAATTATTATTTCTTCAGTCCACTTTGATCATTGAAACCGTAAAAACAGCTGTACAAGTCGATCCCTATCCGGTTGAAAATATCGGCTAAGTATCGCATTACATGTAAGTGAAAATTATCAACAAAAAATACGCCGGGCACACTATTGCTGAATCATTGTCCGCCGCAATATTTAATTAAGTGCAACGAGTCTATCCCGGCAGTTATTACCGTAATATCAATCCCGAAATGCAGAAGGTTCCACTGCTCCTGGTCGCCGCCTGCATTCTGGCCCTGGCCACGGCCGAGTCGAGCCCCAGACTGCTGCGAGTGCCACTGGAGAAGATTCAGACCGCCCGCCGCCACTTTGCCGATGTGGGCACAGAGCTGCAGCAACTGCGCATCAAGTATGGCGGCGGCGGTGACGTACCGGAGCCCCTGTCGAACTACATGGACGCCCAGTACTACGGACCTATATCGATTGGAACGCCGCCGCAGAACTTCCGGGTGGTGTTCGACACCGGCTCCTCAAACCTGTGGGTGCCCTCGAAGAAGTGTCACCTGACTAACATCGCCTGCCTTATGCACAACAAGTATGATGCCAGCAAGTCTAAGACGTACATCGCCAACGGCACTGCGTTCGACATCCACTACGGCTCGGGCAGCCTGTCTGGCTACCTGTCTACCGATACGGTCTCCATTGGTGGTCTGGACATCAAGGGACAGACCTTTGCCGAGGCGCTGAGCGAGCCTGGCCTGGTTTTTGTAGCGGCCAAGTTTGATGGCATTCTGGGCTTAGGTTACAGCTCCATCTCTGTGGACCAAGTGAAGCCGCCGTTCTACGTTATGTACGAGCAGGGTCTGATCTCATCGCCGGTGTTCTCCTTCTACCTCAACCGCGACCCAGCCGGCCCCGAGGGCGGGGAGATAATCTTTGGCGGCTCCGATCCCAAACATTACAGCGGTGACTTCACCTATCTGCCTGTTACCCGCAAGGGCTACTGGCAGATCAAGATGGACTCTGCCTCTTTGGGTGAACTGGAGTTGTGCAAAGGTGGTTGCCAGGTGATTGCCGACACTGGCACTTCGCTAATTGCTGCTCCGCTGTCAGAGGCCACCTCGATTAACCAGAAAATCGGAGGCACCCCCATCATCGGTGGACAGGTATTAATTAAATTCTTGAAAATGGCAGCGAAGTTTTGAATTTTTATTATCTTTCAGTACGTTGTGTCATGCGACCTGATCCCCAACCTGCCGGTGATCAAGTTCGTGCTGGGCGGCAAGACCTTTGAGCTGGAGGGCAAGGACTACATTCTACGCGTGGCTCAGATGGGCAAGACCATCTGCCTGTCGGGCTTCATGGGCATGGACATTCCCCCACCAAACGGTCCCCTCTGGATCCTGGGCGATGTGTTCATTGGCAAATACTACACCGAATTTGACATGGGAAACGATCGTGTGGGCTTCGCAGATGCGAAATAATCGAACAACGACACTAAGTCTATACTTAAACTTTAACTTGTAATCTTTATTGGTTCCTCTGGGACTCTGCCGAAGCAACGGAATATATGTATTAACTTAACGATTTCTTTGTTTAATTTCCAGTTGTCCGTTTTTTGCTTACTTATCATTTGAATGTTTCTTTTTTCGCTTGCTCCGCGATTTGATAAGGTCTGTCTGTGTATATATGTATGTATATGGTAATTTGTCATGACCATTGTCGAGGCTAGAACAGAATCTACTGGCTTGTTTTCGTGCCTTTTCACTCAATTAATTTGTATAATATATGTTTTAAATATAATAATGAAACATTCAACAGTGCGAGGCTTGAGCTTGCAGTCAGTTGATAACAAATCTCTGGGGGACTAACCGCGTTCACCACTTAATTACACTTCTACAAATTTCGCATTTGCTTTAATTGAACAGTTTTTCTATATATTCTATAGATAATTTTATGGCTGAATAGAGTTAAACATCAACCTTCCCATGTAAGATTTATATTGTTGAGATAAAACAAAGTATATAAATTTATAAGTAGAGGAAAACGCGAACTATAAGCATAATATATTAGCCTCCAAAGCTGAGCTGAACCTGTCCTGGGTTTCACCTACATATTTCCATTGTTTGTACCCTGCCTATCAGTTAGGCGCTACTGCCCTGCGATAGCCTTAGACCCAATACAATCCTATGAAAACCGAGAAAACAACTGACGCGTGTGGGCTCTTCCGGATCGATGTCAACTCTGACGCATGCACCCACCCACCAGAGGCATTCGTAGAGAGCTTTTCGGCGCGGGTGGAACTCCGAACGCGCTGACTCTGTCCGTGGAGTAACCTTTGTACTTCAAGTGAATCAGCAAAAGCGAACGACGATTAACTATACTTAGTTGCCAGAACAATCCATAAAATACGTCTGAACTTGAAACTGAGCAACTCAAATTTTAATACACAAAGGGCTTAAAATAATATATAGTCTTTAAGAGGCAATATTAAAGGTACATTCCAAAGTTAACGAGGCTTTACTCATTGAAATCCATACTCATATCGCTTTGGTAACAAATATATATGTATATGTTTATTTAATCTTTAATCCATGCGCAGTTTGTTTAACTCGAAGTCTCAATGAACATAAATAAGAATGTGCCATTTATTGGGTTAGTTGCAGTTTCAGCCAAGTTCGACTTTATTCTAAGGTTAAAAAAAGCGGCTGAGAGGATATAATGACCATTTAATACTAGGCAAAGACACTAAGCTAAAAGATACAGGCTATTGGGGTCCCGATTCAGGCTCTCAGCTCCCCTGCTCTCACTTCGGTTTGACATTGGTCGCCAATTCGTCGACCTGCGCCGCGGATGTGTCGGAATCGCCTACGGTTGTGGACACCGTCTGAACCTCCGGTTGAACCTCCACCGTCTTAGCTGTTTTCAGGTTGGGCTCGCGCTCCTCGTCGGACTCCGTGGATTCGCGGATGAGCTGTAGGGGCGTAACCAGCTTGCCGCCGGCCATCTTGTAGATATCACAGGTCTCGTTCACATAGCGATTGAATACGTCTGGCTTGTCGGCGTACACGTGGTGGCCGGCGCCCGTCACTATCTTTATGTCCACCATGTTGCTGCCGCGCTGCGACTTAATCTTCTCGCCAGAGGAGGAGTCGATCCAGGAGCGGGAGCCGTAGATGAATGTAATGGGTATGTCGCTGCGCACGTCCTTGATGCGGTGGATCATGGGGTTCTTTGCCCAGCCAAAGGACTGCATCATCGAGTGGAATGCGGACTCGCCGCTCGGGTGCTGGGCATTACACTGGTGGATATACTGTGGTAGCAGGTTAATATCCTCTTCAATGGTACTCTGGAACTTGCGCATGATATCCGGTCGCGTCTTTTGAACCACCCATTGGCCAAAGGGGCCGGCGGCGCGCAGGGCCCACAGCGGATTAAGAGGGGTCAGTACCCTAGCTATGGCCCGCACCCAGAGCGGTATTTGCTTGCCGTTGATCGCAGCCTCCGAGGGCTTCTCGGGGAAGCCCCACGGATCGGCCAGGATAAGATGTTTCACCCGCTCCGGGTAGCTAAGGGCGTAGCTGGAGGCAATGAACCCGCCCATCGAGTGGCCCAGCAGGATCATGTCACTGATGTTCATTTCGCGGCGCCACTCTTCAACCGACTTGACGAACTGCTTCTCGCACACGAGTGCATCCTTGGCAAACTGTGGCCGCGAGCTGCGTCCGAATCCCAGGATGTCCATGGCGTAAACGGGCCTGCCCTTGGCAAACGCGTCTAAGTTCATCACCCATAGGGCAATACCGGCTCCGAGTCCATGAAGCAGCACCAGGGGCACCTCCTTGGACTCGGTGTTCATGCTGATCGTCCATATCTTGTCCGCCTCGCCCACTGCTGGGCCAATATCCACGAAGAAGCCCCGGTAGGGCAGCTTCACGTACGACAGAATCTTCTTCTCCACAGCGCGTAGCATTGTTGGGGAGCTGGATGTCCAGTTACACAACCATTTCCAGAGAAAGAATCCGTTGTTCCTAGGATCCTGCAAGCGAAAGAAAAAGAAAGCCAGTCAGACGTCAGTTGATTAGGAACGCGAAAGTGATTGAAGGTTGTGTGATCATTGGGCATCTCGGACCTCTCTGGCATCTCAAGCACCTGGCTGCTGGTGGCCCAGGCGGAGGGCGAATATTACTCAACCAGCGAGTGCGAGTTTACTGCGCAGTTTATTTTGCGAAAGAGCAACAATTTTCGGACGGAATTTGATCGGTATTTAACCAACTGGGTCGCCTACTAGTCCGACCCTTCCACTGCCACTGCCCCCGCCTCCAGCTTATGCTCCTTACCTCTAGGTCCATACCCACGCGCGGTCCCTGCTCAACTACGGGCAGCGGCAGGGAGGTAGTGGATGCAGACGTGGGCGGCAGATCGCTCACGCCGCCGCTCGCCAACGCCAGCGTCTCGCTCATCTTGCGCTCTCGAATCGGATCGAAGGCGGATGATCGGCTCTCACTTTAAAACTTAAAATTTGTGAATGACTTCTGCAGGATTGGCGGAATGCTATGGTTCTATCGACGACCCGACACCATTTGCGCGAACCGTGCGTCCACTGTGACGGCCGAGAGTTTCATAAATGTCGACACGAAAGTTAAATCTAATTTGTACCAGCTACACTACTGTCGAGTTGTGATGACTTTGAACTTCTGCCAGTGCTCCGCTGCTGTGCGGGGGATTTGCTTTGCTTTACTTGGGTTTGGTCGCCGCACAATCGCAATTACATGTTATCTATTCTAATGGTGAAATAGTATTTGTTGTTGCTAATAGTGGTGGGGGCACTAACACAAGTGCAATAACAATAACAAACCGAAAGCCAGAGAGTGCGGGTGTGCGGTCACACAATCAGCTGGTCAGCTGTGCGCCGTCAGTGCTGGGTAACGTGCCAGTGTTCGTTGTAATCCTTATTATTATTAATTAGTAATAACATGTAGAGTATTATATACTAAAATGCACTTCACAGCCGGTTCCATTCATAGAATCACCCTCGCAGGTCGGGAAGAAGAAGCAGAGCTTCGCAACACTGGACCTCGCACACGGTCACTCTAGCCTGGACCTGCTCCAACAACGTTTTTTGTCTCCACACTCGGCCCCATGGACGGCATAAATAAGTACAACGAATTTGTGGCGCTGCACAAGCCCCAGTTGGAATCGTCCTCGATTCCGATGCACTTCTGGCCGGCGCTTTACCGCAAGCTGGCTGCTGATACCTTCGATGCTGGAGAAGCACTGCAGCTGATGTTAATCGACTATGATGAGGACGAGGAGCAGAATCCGGCAGAGAATGATGACAGCCCTAATCCCGTGTTCGCCTTGGGTGTAGCCAGGAATCAAGGTATCAGGGCAAGTGATCCACAGGCCATCTACCTAGTAGACCATGCCTGGACTTTCCGGCTGAACAGTGCGCGGCAGCAGTTGCAACAGTACCCGCACCTGGCGGATCGCCTGTCGGCCATCACGGGCGTGGATCTGGAGCTGGAGGACCGCATCGACAAGATCCTGCGTCGCCTGTGGAAGTACTGCCACGCCTACTCCATTGGAAGCGCAGGTCTCTCGGATGAGGAACGCCAGCCCATCTGGTATGTGATGGACGAGGTCGGCTCGGCTGTAAATCACTCCGATGATCCGAACTTTCGCCTGGTGCCACTGCTCTACCTGAACACCCAGACCACGTATAGCGTGTTATTTCCAATCCATGATTGTGAGGTGGGCGAACAGGTGACACGCGATGTAGTGGAGTACGTTGCCAAGGAGGCGCCGCAGCGGGCTGCCCTGCTCTTGCCATGGCGCGATGTCGACCTCACGGGCGAGAGCTTCCTGCAGGTGGAGCCGCGAGCGGATTACTTCACCAGCGGGCACATCGCCGAAACGTATCCCAAAGAGAACACGGAACCACTGCCATCACGGTCACGCTGCGACCCATTGAAGGTCTACGCGGAGTACGAGGTGGTACGGCAGCACCTTACATCTCCAGAGTTCCTTCTTGTAAGCGACGAACAGGAGGCTGACGTCCTATGGCTCACGCGCCACTTCAAGACCTTCGAGGAGTTGGCCGACCAGGCGCCTGGCAAATTTATCAACCAGTTCCCATTCGAGTATGTTATCACCATCAAGGATCTGCTCAGCATTGTGGGACGTCGGGCGGCTAAAGAGCACCACAACGGGCTTACGCTGGACACGTATCCCGACTGGCTGCCCACCACCTACAATCTGTCCACGGAGCTAAGGGAGTTCGCCGCTTACTATCAGACGAGAGCGGCTAAGGGCCTCGACAACCATTGGATCATCAAACCCTGGAACCTGGCTCGCGGCCTCGACACCTACATCACCGACAACATCCGGCAGATTGTGCGTCTGCCGGCCACTGGACCAAAGATTGCTCAGAAATACATCGAGCGACCGGTACTGTTCCGACGCGAGGAGTTGGAAGGACGCGTCAAGTTCGACATTCGCTACGTAATCCTCCTTAAGAGTGTCAAACCCTTGAAGGCATATGTGCATCGTAAGTTCTTTCTGCGCTTTGCCAACCATCCGTTCTCGTTGGACAACTTTGACGACTACGAAAAACACTACACGGTGATGAACTACCAGGAGGAGGCTCAACTCCACCACGTCAAGTGCGAGGACTTTGTGACACTCTGGAGAGAACAGTACCCGGATAACGATTGGTCTGTCCTGGAGCAGCAAATCTGCAGCATGCTTTACGATGTGCTGCAGTGCGCCAGCCAAGCAGATCCGCCTTGCGGACTTGCTCCTTGTGCCCAATCACGAGCTTTGTACGCCGCCGACATCATGCTCCGTTGGACTGATGATGAGGAGAGGGTGATGCGGCCTCAACTACTGGAGATCAACTGGACGCCAGACTGCAAGAGGGCCTGCGACTACTATCCCGACTTCTTTAACGACATCTTCCGGCTGCTCTTTCTGGACGAGGAGAACGACGAGAGCTTCCGCCTGCTGAGGCCGGAAAATGATGAATAAACGTGACTTCCCAATCCTTAATGCTTACTCGTGTACTTTATTTCTCGCTTAGACTATAAAAAACTTAAATAGCTTGCATTTTGTACAATATACAAGTAGGTGTGTGTATGCTTCTATGCGTGTGGAACCAAGTGCTTAAGGCTTAACCAGTTAGTGGTTGGTTGTGTGGCTTATGCTTCTATCATAGCTTGGACAGGCTCAAGTTCAAGAGTCAAGAATTCAGTGTCGAGTTCAAAGAGTGAGCTTACAGTTAACGCGTCTTACAATTCTCAATTGCAAATGGCACTTGATGAACGATGAACAGGTGAAATGAAAAGTAAATAAAAATGAACATGTCTCGCAAATGTACAGGATGATATCCCAAGAATATGTATTAGAGTAGATGAAGTCACTTATTTAAACTTAAGGCAACGTTGAAGGCACCCAAGTTAGGCAAAAAGGCGATTCAAACATAAAGTAAATATGTTCTCAAGGGTCTTGTCCTTGGCAACCCGTGTGGGTCTGGGCTTAACTCTTAATAATACACGTACGAACTAATAGTGCGTGAAAATGCAATGCGAAAACGTCTATGAATGAATCTTACATCTAGCTAATGCTACCTTATAACTTTAGGGCTCGAGTACAACCGCTAAACGCAGACCTCGTCAAAGTCCAAGCGCACCTTTTCATCCGCGGAGGCTAGCTTATGTATAGTCTTTTTGATACGCAGCGCCGGCAGACGCACATTGGGATTCTGGTGCCAGCACTCTTTCATTAACTTGGACATGCCAGCAAGCAACTGCAAGCGAGACGTGATAATACCAATTAGGTTCGGAACTTTGAGACACTGTTTCGAGGACTTACCGAGTCTGAGCTCCAACGATTGGGTATAGAGGGCCTGTAGTTGTCGGTGCAGACAACTTTGCGCATATCCTCAAAGCTGGGATCCATTGGCACCACATCAGAGAATGGCACCTTGTACTCCTCAGCAATTCCGCACGCAATCGTACGACGACAAACCTCCCACAGAACCAGTCCAAAAGCGTAGATATCAGTTCGTCGCAGCGCCTCAAAGCACTCCAGATCAATGCTGCTCCGAGAAACCACATTGTTGAAGACAATTTCCTCAGTGTATTCATAACTTTAAGAGCTTACCTCTCATCCAAAACTTCGGGTGCCATGTAGCGTTTGGTGCCCACCTTGGGGTTGTTGCCCAGGTCCAATAGTCCTGTCTCATGCGAGTGGGTGACAGCCAGACCAAAATCGGCTATCACGCAGGTTCCATTCGAAGTGACCAAAATGTTCTTTGACTTTAGATCCCGATGCGCCATTGCTGGCTTTCCTTGCTTGCCAAATATCTCCGTGTGCAGGTGCACCAATCCATTAGATATCGATAGACAAATCCAAACCATGTCGTTGCGGCTCAAAGCATTACGGTTGAGGTGATCGAAGAGGGAACCCAGCGGGTAATAGTGCGTCATCAGCCAGAGTTGTGTGCACGAGTTGCGCGACGTCATGTCGGAACCGATGAAGCCGAGAATGTTTTCATGACGGAGCAAGACGGTGCTGAAAAAATTCGATATAAATTATTGATTCACAAAGCTAAAAGTAATAACAAATGGCTCTCACCTGTAGATTTCCGTCTCTCGCTTCCAAGACTCCTCGTCGCGACTGAAGAATATCTTGACGGCTATGCTCTCGCCATGCCAGTGACCGCGCCATACCTCGCCGTACTTGCCTCGCCCAATACACTCGATCAGAGTGACCTGCTTGGCAAGCGTACGCTGTACAAGCAGTGGTAGTCCGCTGCCCGATCCGGAGGTCACAGAGTGCTGCAAATACTCCCTCAGAGTGCTGTCGCCGGCACTAGTGGCGCGCAGCAGCTCGTCGTTAACCAGATACGATTCCGGATCCTCTTTGGTGCGCGAGGCATGTAGACGCTTACGATGGCTACGCCGTATGAAGAAGATGGCCACTACGCCCAGCAGAGTAATAATCAGAAAGGGACCCAGAATAGCCAAGGACATCTTGCCAATCCTACTGGTGTCCGCCGTGACTGTGACACTGGCGAAGGGCGCCAGATCGGGAAAGTCACCACTGTTGCAGTAATCGCCATTGCAGCAGACCAGGCTGTAGTAGTTGTCCGTATTCCGTTTGCTGGGACCATTGAGCTTGTTTGGTGAGCTCTGCCGGCACAGCGGCAGCTGTTCGAACGAGGTTGTGCACCCGCGTGAAACCTTTTCATGGCCATCGGCATCGCGGGTGCGGGATTTCCAGCACTGTTTTGATAAGCAGAGAGTTTAGTCTCAGATTTTTGCTTGGACCAGGATTAAAACTCACCTGAATGGCGTTCTGGCAGGTGTGGGAAGACTCTAAGGGATCATGGCAAGGCGGCTCGCAGGAGTAGCATTTGTATCTGTTGAAAAAGAGAGGTGTTAGTGAGTTGTATAATGGAGTGATTGGAGCAGGAAATGGACCGAAATGATGAGGAAAACCAAGCACGAATGTGTTACCTTCTTTTCATGCGGCGCTTGCTTTTAATGTGTCTTCTAATCAAGGATTAGCAGCGTGTAAAAGGGGGCGGTTAAATGATATTAGCAAATACAGTGATTTTTGCCCAAAGGCAGGAAGGGTAAACCGAAAACCACAGAAAAAAGTAAATATCAAATCACCTGGGATGCGTCTGCACGGAGTTCTGTGGCACCGCCGGCAGTTCCTTGGCGTTGAGGTGGGCGGACGGCTCCATGTCTATGTCCTGACTCTCTTCCAGCAACCGATCACTGATTTCCGCTAAAAAAAAAAAAAAACAAACGCACATCAGACTCATGCATACAGCACACATGCACGCGCAACAGAAGCACACACACACTCGCCGCACCGAGTTCTGTATACACACGGAACTCTGGAGTGCGCCTGTGTGGGTGGGCCAATCATTGAGAAAATGCACTTATGCTGCGTACGCCCACGACAGCATTCGAATCAGTTTATATAATGCATTCTGTGGGGATTTTAACCCAATAAGCATCCGGTAATTGCACTACAAGCCCGAGCATGGCTAATACGCAGCACAATTGGCCAGAACCGCAGCATATGAAAACAAATCAGGGCCGTCCGAACGCACAAACGACACACTTTTCAATCAGTTTGTTGGCCTCCAGGACCCGTTACACTCGGGTTTTCTATGTTGCAGACGTCGCTATAAGCTTTCATTAAGCGATTTACACGATTGGAACTATACCTCTTGCATTACAGCACAGCGAAAACGACAATAGAAAAACTAAAAATAAGTTGGACTCCATTGCTCCATTCCGTTTCTAGTTGAGTGTGACCAAAGCGGCAGAAGGGACTAGCAAGTGCACCAAAATACCGCACCGTGTAATGTCATAATCAGTGTTGCCAAACTAGCTATTTCCTGGCCAGATCTGGCTATTTTGCAAGATCCATAACTGGAAATCTCTTAATTTACCAGGAACCAGTTATTTGAATATTTAAAAAAATATATTTACTATATTTTATCTATTTTAAATAAAAAAATCGTATGTATTTGCTCATAACAGTTGTGAAAATTAGTGGAAAATCCAAAACGAGTACAAACAAAAACTTTGAGATGAATGAATGGAGGAGTCCGAAAAATGCACATAAAAAGACAAGAGAAAATCAAGGACATTATCAACATACTGATAATGCACAATGGCATTTCAGGACAAAAAACTTAAGGTGAATGTTGTGTTTTGTTAAGTTACAAAATTACGGCTTTGTACTTTGCTAATTTTAAAAATGTTTAGCTATTTTTAGCTACTTTATTTGGCCTGTCCACCCATAAATGTCGACCGATAGTTGGCAACACTGGTCCAGGGAAATATATCAAGCACTAGACACACACATACGCCGCATAGCGCACGCACACCAACACTTCGAGCAGCCGGTCCAGCGGAAAAGTTTCTAGAACGTCGTCGTGAAACTCGAACTCCATTTAAATCTTTCCCCCAACAGCTGAGTGATAATTAATTAAATATAGTTTATTGTGGCTGCAACAACAAAGGCCCAAATATATATTAAACAGGTGAGTGGTGCGCCTATTATATACGAGGTAACCGCAATATGAGGTGCTTTGTAGGGCATGTAAGTGTTGTGATACTACATGGAACCTACGACATATACAGAGATGTTGACATATAGAGGTGATTCCATCCCAAATCCTGTAAAATAGGTATAACTACGTGCATCGTATATATGCTGGGAGTGGGTGACCGGTTTCGTCCAAGAAAATCAATTGATTATTGGCTCTGGTATCGATCAAGCAAGCAGGCAAGAGCTGTCCCCTTTCCCCCTCCTTCATCACAAACATGTGTTCCCTCGGTCACGTAACTGCTTTAATATTCCACATTTTCCTCTCGTTCCCGGGAGATACACACGCAGTAGGGAACACTATATGTACCCCTATTTACCTCCCACCAAGTACACACAATATCGCAGTCGGTAAACATTACAATTATTATCACGAGCGACGACATATGTATATGTATAAATATATGTATGTACTCTGTGCAAGATATAGTTTATTGTACAATTAGTTGGGCTGCGCTAGAAATCGCACAGTTGGAGGGACGAGACGAGACGGGTGCTCGGGGGAAGAATCTCGCTAAACAAAAACAATTGGGGGCAAGTGGTTTTTTCACTCTTATCAAGAGCCCCTCTCTGCGCAGACACTGCTCTCTCTCCCAGAGCTCCTCCAATATTTGCCGGCGTTTCGGACGTACCGCTCTCATTTTTCGAAACCCACTCGTCGTGAAAGCACTGCTCCCGAAATAAAAACAATAATAATACAAATTCAAAGGTAACGCAACGTCTGCCTCTAGAATCTAAAAAACTACGCAGTTCGTTTTTACAAATAATAAAGCGCGTGGTCAGCATGTTGTTCTTTCTTACATAATTCTAATAACACGATAAATAGCCGGCATATTTTGGCAACGACCTTACTGCGTCATTGATTGAATATTTATTTGCTTATCGCCAGATTAGAATTTCGTGATATTCATAGGTGTTTGGTTATATTTGAGACGGAATGGTGGGACTAGGACAACCTTGGAGGAGGCTTATCACTCTGTTGAGTGGAAAGTTCTCAATCATATTTCACCGGGTTTCGCAAATACAGATTTTAAAAGGTTTAATTATAATCGGTTCTTAAGAGGAAAAGCATTTAATTCAATTTATAAACATATTAAAACTAGATTCTTTAGATTGCAAAACCAGCCATATTAAAAATATTAACAAATATTGAAACTTATCAAAAAAAAAATTAGCAAAAATCAATCTTAAAACACTTTTTATGATACCATTTCATATGTAACAATTTCATCAGCTTTTCCTAATCGATTTCTTTCTATATTATCCCCCACAGAAAGCAACGTTCAAGAAACCAAACGCATTTGTCAAGGAAACGTGTTCAAAAATTAACAGAAACAAGCCTCAAAACAAACCGATAAACAAACAAACTAACAAACATAAATTATTCCCTCAAAAGTGATTAGAATATATTGTTATTTGTGCGAGAAAAGATCTGTTCGCGAGTGAAGTGTCCGCTTGAGAGAGCGCTATGTCCGCATCTGCTGCCTCCGGTTCGCGCAATAAACACTCCAAAATCCGTAACGATGAGCAGAATTTTGATGTAACAAAGGAAGAGTTCGACCGTTTCCGCCAGGCGCTCGGCCAGGAGGAGTTTCGTAAGCTGTTCTTCGAGTACGTGGAGGAGATCCAGGACCCCGCTAACCGCAAGATCTACGAGGAAGAGATCACGCAGCTGGAGAAGGAGCGTGGCGTGGAGGTGAGGTTTATCCACCCGCAACCTGGATTTGTGATAAAGACAGCGCTAGATGGTGAGCTTAAGTGCTTTATCAACATCGCCGGCTCGCCGGAGATCGAAAGACCCAAGAATGAAGTGGCCATGGATCCCTCGAACGGCAGTCGCGGTCTGAGCTGGTCCATTCCCATGGCCCAGACATCCTCGCGTGATGACTGCGATGCCAAGAACAACCTCTGCAAGGTTTTCGACGTAGTCTTCCATCCGGACGCTCTACACTTGGCCAAGCGGAACCAGCAGTTCCGTAAATGTCTCATTGACACTGCGCTGGATGCTGTCGAGCGGGAGTATCAGGTCGCCCTGGATCGCGCCAATCTCAAGTTCCCCAAGCTGGACTACAAGGGCATCTCCCGACCCACTGTGATACGCAAATTGGCCAAGAATCACTCGGCCGAAGACCAGGAACCCCATCCCCTGGGGACATCTATCCCACTAAGCTCCCATCCGCCTCTGACGGGAAGCCCCGAGTCCTGCCCATGAAGTCCAAGCCATCACCCGTGCCCGAGTTCACGGTGCCCAAGTATTCGATCAAGCACAGCCACGATGTGGATTTATCCGAGTACACAGACGAGCTGGACGCCAAGCTGCATGTGACTGTACCGCGCTCTCTGGTCGTAGAGATCGAGCTGCCCCTGCTCCGTTCGACAGCCGAGTGCCAGCTGGACGTTACCGCAACGTCCGTTTATTTGCTCAGCGAACGCCAGGGAGCCAAGTACCGGCTGAAGCTGGACCTGCCCTTCACCGTGGACGACAAGGCTGGCAGCGCCCGCTTTGACACCGATCTGCGCCGCCTGAACATAACGCTGCCCGTGGTGCGGACTAACGTACGCGAGCAGCGCCAAATGCATGATACTTTGCGCCACTTAAGTCGCGAGGACAGCGGCGTGGAGCTCCATTCCAACAGCGAGTCGCCCGTAGAGGAAGACTGCGATGGCGACCTCAGCGATTCCAAGGCGGATACCTCCGAGACTGGTATGTTATTCTAGATTTTTGTTTGACGTTTCTGTCAGCATTTCTAATCTTCCACAGCCACGTCCACTGCCACGCCAGTGCAAAACGCCTTGATGCCGTTCCTTAAGAGCTCCGTGCACTATCAACTGCCCGCCAAGTTCGACTGCAATGTGCTGGATAATGTGATGGCGTTCGTGCTGCATGTGCCAAACGTTCAGCCAGACTCCATTCAGCAGCTAAAGGAGCAGCGGAGCCTGCACCTGCAGTTTGCCACCATTGGCAGTGGCTACTATCCCACCCACTATGCTTTCTACGTGGAGCTGCAGGCCGAGGATGCAGATCTCTCCATCGAAAGTGCAGAGGCAGAGGCCTGGGACAATAATGTGGTACTGAAGCTGTGCTTCAGTGCGCAGAGCGAAACGCCACAGGGATATTTAGCCGGACTGGATGCCACGGATCTCACGGAGTACTCAGTCCACGGCCAGTACAAAGTAAAGGATAAGAAGGGGGACAAAGCGAAGACTGAGGATGCCCAGCTCGATGTAAAATTCAAGCACAAGGAGGGCCAGGCCCTGAAAGTCACCATTCGCCCGGTGCCGAAGGAGAACGAAAACGAGGAGGAGGAGGAAGAGGAGCTCGAAGACCCTGAGCATGAGCAAGAGCCGCAGAACGCTCATATCAAGAAGCCGAACAAGAAGCAGCGCAAGCGGAACAAGAAGGAGCGCTCCCTCTCCGAGTCGGCCTGCGAGGATATTCTCGACCAGAAAGCCCTGACTGATATTCCAGTTCCACAGTCCAAGGCCACGCTGAAGCTTCCGCAGCGCAAGCAGCGCAGCTACTCGGAGTGCAACGACAGCAGCTTGGGCAGCGGCAGCTCCTATCGTGGCATCCTTAAACGATTCAGCCGCTATGGACCTCGGCCATCAATGTCCGACAGTTGCTCCTCCATCGACGACTGCTCCTCCTCGTACTCGTGCTCCGTAGACGCTTCCGGAGTCACGCTTTTATCGCACTCTTTTGGCGGCATTCCCGAGGAGGATCGAGGCGATGCTGGACTCTCGGAGAGCTGCAAGAAGACTGTTAGGTTTAATGACCACATCATGAAGCAAGTTTTCCGGTTAGTACCAGACATATCTCCTGCAAATGAAATCCAATTTAATAATTTACTTGGATCTTTAGACTCGATTCCAGCATCCTGGGTCAGCGTAAGAAAAACCAGAAGCGCCGTGATCTCAAGATGCGGGCCCAGCAACGTCGTCTCAGCGAAGGTGATTCTGTGGATTACGAGGAGACCCGCGACGCTCCCATCAAGGTCAGTTGGGGGCGGAAGAAAGTGTGTAGAAGCTGCTGATTAGGTTGATCTCGTTAATTGAGCAAATATCCCATTCCGGCTGGTTAGGAGACAGTTGGGTTGTTGGCTTGTTAATTGAATTAGCGGTCATCATCTAAATCGCACCGGTTAGGTTGACTTTCCTCAGACCAGACTCCAAATATTGATCCCAAGATTGGTCTTTGTCTGAATCGTTTCAATTACACGTGTGCGAAAGCTAAATAGATCCTTTGTTTGGCTCTATTTTTAGCAGAAATTCTGCGAAATTGAATTCAAGTGTGTAAATTAATATGCAGGTGACGAGAATTTTGCGGGTAATGGAAAGTTGTTGCAATAGTGGGGAAAGGGAATAATTATAGGAAAGTTAAAACAAGATAGGTAACCAGCTTCGGTAATCCACCCATCTCGTTTGCAATTGAATCATTCGATCGAAATTTAAATTGATCATAACTAAACTGAAAGTTGTGATTAAACAAGAAATAATAATAATAATTTTTCTTACAGCAACAAGGAAACCAATCAAAGAAAGGCAATAAGCCGAAGGGAAGCTCGTCCTCGTTCCACGACAGTGGGCTGGATCTAACCGGGGGAGCTGCCCACGGCAACAACAGTGAAGCAGATGCCAAGAACGCCATGATGTTTGAAATGGATGACGAGGACTAGGATGATATTATGTAAACACGAAATATATTCATAGTTTTTTCGAGTGTTTTAGAGGCATGTTTTCAAGCTATTTATAAATTAATTATTGCTACTTTTTTTAAATATTTATACACATTGTATTTGGTTTTGCGTCCAAAAAACTCGCTCAATTGGAAATCTAATCATACAACAAATTGTATTTAGGCAACGAAAAATCAGGGCAAAACGGAAATCAAAATATTCATAAAACCATTAATTGTTATATAATTCGGTTGATCATTGAAATTGTTAAAACAGAAGAACGAACCTATTACTATAGTTCATAGTTACCCATGTTCATTGCAAACTATAAGTTGTAAGTAAACATTAACGCATTCATTTATTGGCAGCCTGCATGCTAATAGCTCACCATCAATAACTACTACACAGCAAACATAAACAATATCAATAGTTAACAATTCCTCTAGTATTATACACGCAAAACAGCATCCGAAGTAGTCTTTAAGCCATGGCTGAAGCAATGAATGTAACTTTAACTTTTGTAAACCAGCGGAAAGTTAAAATATATATACACCCCAAGTGAATGATTTCTGGCAATCAATAGAAGTGCTCCTCCAGCAGCTTCTGAATGTGTCCAATTTGTTGCAGCTCCCGCCGCTTTCCTTCCAGCACATAGAGAACTGGACAGTCGAGGGAATCGCAGTGGAGGTCACCCAGACGTCCACAGCAGGCCTGACAGATCTGTCTGGTCAGGTGATAGCCTCTCTCCAGGCGTGCCGTCTTATCCGAGAGCACAACTACACTTTTAAAGGCATTCTTCAGGCAATCCGGACAAATGCCCGCCTTAGTCTGGCGGCCACAATCGATTACGCAGCTGGTGGTAGAGAAATACTGTGAGATGGTCGATTTGGCGCCTCTACCTCCTCCGGCCAGCTCGTTGCCCGTTCCCACGGCCGGCGTCATTAGGAGCTTTCGGGGCAGACTGGCGAACCAGTCATGGACATCGGCTCCAATGAGCAGCAGGCAGCGGTTAAGCGGCGGAATTATCGCCTTGGTGATGTAGTACATAGCGTTGATCTTGTGGCCCTCGTTAGCCAGAATGTCGTGAGGACTGCGTACCAGGCGAATGAGCTGCATTCCCGGTGGCCCATTTACGATGATGAAGGGAACGCGCTCCCCGCGACGCGGAATACGCCGGGGGTCTTTTTGCATCCATTTGCTGGTCACAATTTTAAATAAATAATTTTGAACTTGGAATCTGAAGTGCCGACTTACCGTGTAAGTGCCAAGGCAGGGACACAAGCTGTGGGCTTGTACCCGTTAAGGCCGCGGAACTCCTTTGCAAATATCAGGTCCTGTAGGTTGGCTCGGCCAGAGAGCAGCTTTGTGAACTGCCTGCAGACGTACTGCTTGATTTGACTGACATCTTGCGTCTCGAATAACAGGCGCAACACTTTCTCCAGCATCTTGGCCACCGCTGGACAGCCATCCCGCCGCACCGTCTCAATGCCCTTGGCCTCGAAAACGGGCTGCGCCTGATCGGCCGTCTCGTACATGTAGCCCACGTATCGCTTCTTGGTCTGAAGGAGGCACGGCTGGTAGACTTTCTCCAACTTCAGCTTCACAGGCTGTGGACTCATCTCGGTGACGGCCTGTGCAATCTCCTCGCCAATCCGGAAGGCTTCGGCTCGATTTCGGCCCGGAACCAGGACAAACATGGAGTCCGTGTCGCCGTAAACAACGCGTACCTTCCACTCCTCGTTCGCCTCCACGAGCTTGATGGCTCGCTCCAGAGTCTCGCGGCCCTTGGACACCACCGAGTCACCCACCTCGACCGCCGGCATCCGTCCACTAAAGTTGGCAGCCGTGTACCCGTACGTTACATTCGCCATTAGCTTCAGGCCCAGCTGCCGGGAATGCAGAATCCTTTGCAGGGCGGAGCTATCCTTGTGCAGCTTCATTGACTGCTTGACCATTTGGCGCGTGTCCAGTATCTCGGTAAGCATGCGCGGCAGGATCCCTTCGCGCACCTCCCGCTTCACAAACACCACGCCGCAGGGCGACACAGTGACTAAATCGTGCTCCAGCAGCTTCTGTAGCATCTGCCGGGAAACGCGTAGCTGCGAGGCGCCGAACTCGAAGGGCGAACTCCCTCCCAGATGCTCCACCCGACCCAGACATGTCGAAAAACAGTAGTTGTAGGCAATGATCATGCTGGGGTACAAGCTCTGGAAGTCGAGGACGATTAGCGGATCGGCATAGAAGCGTGACTGGGGTTCCATGATGAGGGCCAAGTACTCGGGCGCCCGCATGTGAGCCCGCTGCTGCACGCTCGGTGACAGGGGCACCAGGTTCTTTGGCTTGGCGATTCTGCGGACAACAATTTGTCATGAAATCGATAAAGATTTGTAGCCTCAGACTCACCTCAACATCATGCTCTCCACGCGGAACTGCGAACCACGCGACAGCACTTCGTAGAACTGGATACCAATGAGCTTGGCCATCTCGCTGGTGCGTCCAAGGAGATCCAACTGATCCAGCAAAGCCAAGGTGCCACGCACGCGCTCCAGGTGGTACTCCATCACGATCCAGCGCGTGCAAGGCGAGGCAAACCACTCACTAAGCGCCTTGGGCGTGTGCCACGGACATCTCCTGTGCAGGATGTGGTACATAACGTTCTCGAAAGTGTACGATGTCAAGGCTATCTCGGAGCGCATCAGCCGCCATACATCCAGCAAAATGCGGCCGCACAGCTTCATTTCCACGTCCAGGTCCGTGAACTGCTCCCGATCCTCGTCTACAAAGTCCCGCACCTTCTGTGTGGGCACTCGGGACAAAAGAGGAGCGATGTTAAAGCACAGATACTTGGCCCGATCGATCACGTAGCCCCAAGAAGACATCTCTATCTCGTAGCCGGCGTATATGTCTGCATCCCAGCGTCCACACAGAACCAGCAGTGCCTCAAAGGCCTCTGCTTCGCTACCCACCACTTGCACCTCAATGTCGCGGTCCAACCCGTGTGTGAAGCCTTCGCTCAGAAGGTCCTGGGCATTGTTCACCATTATATAGCCGCAAGCTTTGCTGGGCAGGCTTTCATCCGGCAGACTGTGCTCGATGGCGTAGAACATGCAGCGGATCTCGTCGTGCATCGGATCTGGCTGGAGTTCGCCGCGCGTGCACACAAATACTTCCAGAGTCATAATGGTCAGGTGGTTGCACTCAATGTCCGCCTTGGCCTGCTGCAGGTTCTCCAGGTTCACCTTAAAACCGAACGTATTGTCCAGGGTGGCATGACTCAATCCGAAGCTGAGATCGTGCTGCTGTGCCTGGTCGCAGGCACCCTCTAGCTGTCGAAGAAAGGAACTCCGTTCCAGCTCCGCCTGGACAGCGCTGCTGGAGGCGCTCTGCTCGCTGGACTGTGAGCTGGCTATCTCCTCCTCCCGCTGGGCTTCCTTGAAATTTAGTTTTGTGCCGCGCTTCAAGTGATTTTTAGCTGCTTTTTTGGCCTTGCTGCTGATGGGAGTTTCCTTTCCCTTTGCTTGGGACAAGGGTGTGAGGCTTAGGCTGCAGTCCAATTCCTCCCCAGCATCCTCTTCACCACTGCCGCCCTCAGCTTGGAGCATCATTGTGATCTTCTGGCGCTTGACCTTAATGGGGCTATCCATGTCTGCGGATGTCTTTACAGTTTCCCCTCGCTGGCGAAGCACCTCCTGAGCCTTCAGCCAAACCTTGGCTTCCTGCGGAGTTGGCGCACTCTGTGCAGGTTCGACCACTATCTTTTGTCGGCTGCTGAAGAATTCCCTCATACGCTGTTCTCCCCGATGTCGCTGCAGCATTGCCGGGCCACCGATCGCAATCAGTTGCTGACGCCTAAAGGAGGCTAGCCCGCGATCATTACCGAGCACACTCTGGAATGGCTCGCAGTCGTTAAGCTTGTTGCCCGGTATGTGCAGCACCAGGAAGCCCACTTCCGTCACCTTGCTCACGTCCGCTGGATCGCTGTAGAAAGGCTGCTGGAACTCGAACTCCGGTATGTCTAGCTTGCGGCAGCCACGGACCACTTCATCGTAGGAGGGCGGCAGTTCCAACGGAGTTATCACAAAGGAAGTTTTCTTTGGAGTGGAAGGGCGAGTAGGCGACGCCGCAGGCATCAAGGGACTCTCTATCACATCACTAAACACCGAAGGACTGTTGACTATTAGTGAGTGCTCGTAGAAGCTTTTCATTAGCTCGGGAGTGTGGCTCTCACTGCTCCTTTGGCTCATCAGAGGAGTGGTCTGGATCTCTGGTGGAGCTCTATTTGAGCTTGGAGTTAGCTCCGAACGAAAGCTGTTGCGCAGACGCCTCAAATTGGGTGTTTTTCGCAGCTTTGTAGGCATTTTATCTGTCTCTGTATCTGACCCAATGATCTCTTCTTCGTCGCTCAATGCGAAGTGGTACTCTTCCTCGCTGAGACTTGTTGTTTTTGTACGGGTACTATGAGTTGTTTCAGGCGGAAAGAGTTGCTTTTGTACATTCTCGATATTCTGCTTGGGACTTTCGGCTGCATCGGTTTTTTTATCAGAGTCGGTTTGAGGTTCTTTTAATTTTTCCAACTGGCTTTCATGCATTTTCTCTGGCCTCGGCTTGGGACTTCCCTTTGGGCTTGGATTTGATGCCTTCTGAACCGTTTCCTTTTCTGTTTTTGTGGTATATTCGGCACTCGTTTGAGGCTGCTCCTGATCTTTAGACTGGTTGGTTCGACTGTTCCGTTTATTCGCTATAGTTTCCGTACTTTTGGTTTGTTTCAATTGTTCCTGATGACGGGCACTACGACGTGACTGTTTCTCTTTCATACCACTGTCTGTTGATTTGGGTTTCTTGCCTTCATCATCGGCTTTCAACTGATTCTTAACTTGGTGGCGTGTACTTCTTCGTGGCTGCTTCTCCTCTTCTTCTGGCAACCGATTGCCATCTGCGCCCTCGAACATGTCGGAGAAACTGGGATTCCGATCCCGAGGCGTTAGAGAGCAAATCACGTGTGTCTTGTCCAAGTTGCGTGTGGAACGTCTGGAACTGCGAAGAGGCGTAAGACTGTGGGAGACGGGAGAATTGGTTGGGCTTTATGTTAAATCAAAAAAAGGTTATCCTACTCGTTTTGTAAGCGAATGAAACTGTTCGATTCCTCAACACTTTTCCGCCGCAGCTCTGTCATGGCCAGTTTCTTGCGCAATGATAGCTCTGGCCTAAAACAAACATAGTTTTGTATTAACAATATTAAAGGTATTAAGGTTTACTTACCCAGGAGTTTTTGGTTCCTTATCAAGTTGCAAGCTGAGCCGGGGATTACCCACTTTCCTTGTACTTTCTTCACTGTTTTCTGCAAATTACTGAATATATTTTGTTTCCCAGTGTTCCCCTATGGATCATACCCACTCTTCGTTGACGAATTACTACCAATTGTTAACGGCAGCGGTGCGTACTTCTTGGCCGCACTGGACTTTGGGGTGCGTGGCGACCTCAAGAGGCTGGGATGCCCCTTTGGCGTGGTTGGAGGAGTTTTCGGAGGACTTGTACCCCTGGACTTAGAACTTCTCAGTTTTTTCGGAGTAAGTTGAAGCCGATCGTCGGCTCCATCGATTTGTGGCAGCTTCGAGGATGGGTCTATCGGCTTTGGCTCTGGCTGGCTTTGGGTTAGCTTAAGCAGCAGCTGATCGATATCGTCGAGGGCGGTGGAGAAGTCGTGCCGCGTACTTTCGCCCTCATCTTCGTCGGAATCACAGTCTTCGTCGGCCAGAGCAATCCCAGCCTCCTTGTTCAAAAGATCTGGAGTCAGCTCAACTATGAATAAAGTGGAATATAGTATCTAAAAGGAATAGTTATTTGCTTCTCTTACAGTTTTTATGCGGCTGAGATAAGGGAGCCAATGAGCTGTCTAAATCAACCGGTGACTCATTGTCATTCTGCTCTTCAAGCTGCTGCAACACCTCTAGTAGCTCCAGGTCCTCCTCCCTCACTGCAGCAGTTGAAAATTGTTATTTATTCACCAAGAAAATATCGGGTTGGCAACAGTTTACCCACAGGTGGCATCGTGGGGCATCGCGCCATATGGCTGCGAGAGACTCAGTATAAGCTCCTCATCCACTAACGTAGCGTCCATGCATTCAGAGTCGTCCCTTGAAACTGGAAGGCTGACATTACTGCCGCTGCCGCTGTTGCACGCCACATGGTTCTGAATGAAGGAGGCATTGACCAGCAGATGCTGTTGATCCTGGGAGCATTCCTCAGGATAAACGGCATTTGCCAAAAGTTTCTGCAAATTCCAAGTGCGGCGCTGCTCCTTGCTGCTGGGCAACGTAGTCTGCATAGTGACATTGGCGACACTCGTTTGATCAGACAGCGTTTGCTCTGACAACGTAGATTGCTCCAGAGTCATTAGCTTGCTCTCCAAAGCGGTCCGGTAGAAGATATCACTCTCGGCAACTTCCAGTAGATGACGCTCCTGCGTTTCCGGTAGCTTCAATTCTGGCACCTGAAACGGATGCTGGAATTAGTGGGAGCTGCAGTTAGAGGATCACTTACGCACCGCTTGTACTTTCTCCTCTTCGCCGGATGCTGTGTGCTTTTCAACGAGCTTCTGGCGTCTCATGCTTTCATCGTTCCATATGGCCTCGATCCCGGGATTTGTATGGCGGCCTTTGCTTTTGGTAACCAGCTGAAAGCGATTCAGGATGAAGTTTGAACTGACGTCTACCTCCAATGCACTGCAGGCCACCTTCCTCACGGTACTGGTGTCTAGTAGTTGGGCGGGCTTGACGTTTGGATAAGGAACCACTGCAAAGAGGTTTAGACATGGTTCTAAGAAGCTGGCGCAAAGAACTTGCCTTCGTCTTCGTGGCTGCGCCGGAACTTAAGCACCTCCAGCGGCACGTGAAGGTAGCTCATTCCGTACAGGTTGTAGTCGATCATGAACTGCAGGATGTAGGGCACATGCGACTCGTGCGCGTTGAAGTTCTTGCTGAGGATGGCGCCGCTCTGAAGAAGATTGGCGGCGCGGCGCACAAAGCGCGGATTGAACATGTAGATTTTGAGGAATTGATGTTCCACACGATGGTAACCGTAAAAGGGACTGCCAACGAAATCGATATAGTCTCAAATTAATGAAAAGAAAGTTCCGTTTCGGATCACACTTACATGCCCTTAACCAGCTGGATTTTGAAGACATGCTGGGCGTTAGAGCTGCCCTGGCCCAGGGATATATTAATTGCCTTGTCCAGATGCATAGCTATCTGCAGGATTCCGCGCTCCAGGGACTCAAAGTCCTTCTTGTCGTACGGAATGTAGAAGTACGGGAAAACGCCGTGGACATGCATGCAGGTCTTCTGGCCCCTGGAGTTGCCGCCAAATACCCGCACCACAGGAACCTTTGTGTTGAAGCATCGATTAAAATCTCCGTAAATGAGTATGGTGAAATAAGAGCGGGCATACCCGCTTGATCTCCTTGCCGCGCAACTCAGAGTAGCAGGGATCCAATCCGAATTGCGGCTTCTCCATGTAGAAGTCTGCGATGACCAGGCGCATGGAGTACACGCCGATATCCTCAGATGGAGCTGCCATTTCGTAAGGTCATGGGTTTAATTATTTAACCAATTTATCGCCGACCAACTAAATTCAATTCAAAACAGGGTGACCAGCTGTTCCTGCAGTGTGACCATTGCCTACCACTGCTAAAAAACGGACCGGGTAGAGCTATCGATAAATATCGCTTAGGGCTGCAAAAGACGGTTAATTTAAATATTTTTAAAGAGTATTTAGATAAAAAAAAACTCAAATAAAGTAAAATAAAATATAATATTGCGCATTTATATACCTCATAATAACATTCAGCTCAAATAGTGAAGCTATGATAAAAATGCCTATTATAAAAATGGCATTAAAATCAATATTGAGTAAATAGATTTTTTAGTTAAAACACAAAGGTGGCTCTTTGGAAATATAATTAATCACAATAATATATATAAATTTTCGGTTGCACATACAAATCTATATCGCTTTTGACACAATACAAAGGAACTTAAAGTTAATCTTATCGCGTCAGATAACATTTAGCACAAAGTAAATGCATTATATTGGATTTATAACACTTGGCTTAGGAGGCAAATCCCAGTACGCTGGTGGTACATCCTTGCGCATCCTGCGAAAAGCCTTCTGTACCGCATATAACGCAAAGCCGAGATAAGCTGCATAAAGTGTAGTGAAGTTAGACCTCTTAACCCAATAACGATTCTTGTAAAATACATGCCTGTGATTGGGGTTATCATTATAAGGACTATAATCCAATCTTCGTTGGCCAAAAGAATAATTCCTGCGTAAATCATCAGATAAAGGAAAATGGCGGTGGTGGCCATCCAAGGCACAAAGAGCCTGTGCTTTTCCTGGGTGATCGTAACTATGATTATCACTTGCTGATTTTCCAGAAAAACAGGAGCCGACATACCCTAATAGCACCCACTATGAGAACAATGCTCCCGAGAATCTGTAGTCCGGCAACATGAATTCCAAAGCCATAGGAAGTCCCTGTAAAAAAGAAACCATAATTGCATTATATCTAGATTAAGAACTCTTTTACTTACAATACCAATCCCCCTCTATCAGGTATATTATCGCAAAGGCGATCGACACAAAACCCGAGCCAATAATTCCATCTTTTGAGTCCAATTTCCACATTTTCGATCTGTCCGAACCGGCGAAAGTCTTTGCTGCAAATGAAAACATGTATCTCCGCCAGTAATAAAGCTTTCGCTTTCCGCCTATCTTATCGAAAATACAAAAAAACATATGTACATGTACATGTTCCCCTTTATTCTGTGAAATGAAGAAGCTTTTTAAGTTAACATAGGCTAAAAATACCTGTCCTAAAACGGACTCAAGATATTCTTCTTTCCTATAACACTTATTTTCGACTCTGGCTGATCCTCGCGCATCCTGTCGAATGCCTTCTTCACGCCGATAAGGGCACAACTGAGATACACTGAAAAAAAAATTACGATAATATAGATCCTCAATTTGAGCAAGCATACGACTAGGTAAGTACCTGTAAATGGCGCCAACATGGTAGGAACGAATATAAATTCATTGGTAAGGGTCAGCAATATTATGGACTGGTAAGTCATCAGGTAGATAAACAATCCCGTGGAAATCATCCATGGCACAAATAATTTGAAATTTCGCTAATAAATAAAAAAAAATATGTAAAAAAATTTACTGTAAACCCATTATATTAGCCTTTAAAGTCACCTTAAAAACTCCAACTATTAAAGTCACGCTGCTCAATATCTCCAGGCAACTGATGTGCTTGCCCATTTCTAGCATTCCATCTGTGAAAAAGCCAAACTTTAATAAGAATAAATAGTATATTTTATATACATACCTGAACGATAATAAAAATAGTCGTCCGCCACAGCTAGATAGCCAATTGTAAATCCTATAGATGCAATTCCTGAGAGTATAATGCCAGGTTTGGTATCCAGCTTCAACATTTTTCTATAATGTATTAATTGCCGTGCGATCTAGTTGACGTGTGTTTTGTGAATAACTATTTACGTTAAATATTGGTGAGCTTTGGCTTCCTCTTATCTCTTCAGCAAGTAAGCAACAAAAACGGATGTTATAGATGTCTCTCGAGCGCAGCTTTGAATTGAATACCCATTGCCCATGAGGAAAGAGGGTATTATAACTTGATGTCAACCGGACTTGGCTAGATCGACTCAGCTGCTGATCAATAATATATATGATTTATAGGATCGGAAACGACTCCTTCAGCTTCCGATAATTTTTTGGTTAATGTTTACTTGATAAGATAAGATAATAAAATGTATATATATAAAATATTTATATTTATGCTATGCTATGCTTATCATTTTTATGGGTTAGTCGGGTTCGAACTTTCCTATTTTACTGTTCATTAATAAAATATAGTCCACATTTTTGCTGATTTAGCTTTGGTCCCATCAAACACCCACATATGGCACACACATAGCATTGGATGTACTTTATTTCCAAATATTAAACTTAATTTACTTTGGTAAACTTGGCATTGTTCTTTTTCTGCCAAATATAGAAGCCGCCAAATGCCAGGACGGCCACCAGGCCCACAAGGAGGGTAGCCACTGCAGCGTAGAACACAAAAAGGTCAAAAAGGTGCAGTTGGCAGGAGGATATGCCAATACCACGGGTTCGCATCGCTGCTCCTCCCTTGTGCCGGACAACGTAGTTTACCCAGAATAGGGCGCTGGCTAGGGCACCAAGGGGACGGTCTCGAAATTCGAGGGAAACTTCTCGAATGGTCAACTGGAAGTGAGGCTCCAGAAGAAGCCTCTCCACTGCCCAGGTTAGGGAGGTGCTGGTTACATTGTTCTCCGCCAACTCCAGGCCTACGCCCAACTTAACGGCCAAATTCATATTCCTTCTCTCGTGGTGGAAGAGAGGCAGTCCCAGAATTGGCACATTCCTTACAATTCCCTCCTGTAGATTGAGCAGGTCTCCGTTGGTCAGGAATACCTTCACCCTTGGATGCGCCAGGATGTCTATCTGCGGCACTGCATGCTGGATCATCACATTCTTGGGCAAGTCGTCCAGGGTCTTCACATCGTGACAGGTCCAGATAATGCCCTCTTTTCGGGAGGAGAAGAACGTGAACAGGGCCTGCAGCTTCTCCTTGGGCAACTCTCCACAAGGCTGCTCATTTCCCAGCTGAACATAGACTACTCCAGCCCGAGCCTCCTCGACGAAGCGCTTGACATTCCAGGGCAGCTCCTTTGGTCCCCGAATGTGGAGCCCGCCAGCGGGTACGATCTGCTGGATACTCACCCGGGGCGTCATCAATGGGACATGACTGTTGAGCAGGAGCAGCGATAGCTGGCTGGCCTGCAGCTCGGCAATGGTATATCGCTGCTTAAAGTACTTGACCACCAGTTCCTCCTGAGCCCCGTAGTGATCCTTGGCAAACTGTTTCCGGCGGGAAATGCACTCCCGGATATTTCCAAGGCGCTCAGAAAAGCCCAGCTGGGGAAATTCAAGTTCAGAGTCTATAGGAGAACAAGCCGCCGGCACTAGCGCCTCCTGCACCGCATCCATGTAGTTGCCAAAGTCTGTAGAGATGATGCCAACGACTGGTCGCTGGTGGATAAGACCCAGGGCCAGTAGGGCCTCCGTGTAAAAGTAGTCCACGAGGATCACATCAAAGTCGAACTCAATGTAGGACATTTTAAGTAGCTTCTGCACTGGGTCTTGGGCCAGGAAGTGGTCCAGCGCTCGAGCACCAACGATGGCTAGCGACTGGCGGAGATTTTCGATGGGCAAACGACCAAGATCGGCAAGGTTTCCCTTAGGAGCCGCCTGCTTTTGCACTGTGTTAGGATAAAATTTGCATTAAAGATTTAAATGTTGTCTTTAAATCGTACTCACACTCGCTCCAGAAGGGATATTCTCCCGTGACTGTTTCTGTGACATTATCCAGGGATTCCCCCAGGCCATGGCCAGTGTACACTTCAACCTAAGCAATTATAACTATTTCTTAGTATGGATACTATTATACAACCAATATTTGTGCTTACATTGTGGCCCCGACTGGCCAATTCCGCCACAAGAGTTCGCATCACCGCAAAGTGACCCTCGTTGGCGTGGGGAAACAGCACAAGGACCTTGGCTCCATGAGAGAACGAAGCCAAAGCGAGGGCACACAGAACCAGAAGGATCCAGCGATTCCCTTGATATTCCTTTGAAGTGAAATACATATTATTTAAATCGCTTTCGAAAGTACACATCATCGAATGGAAGATGCTTCGGCATTTTCTTATCAGTTTGGGTCGCTTTTGGGTGACTCGAAATGAACTTCATCCATCCGCATACCAACCATATTCCGAATTTTTAGTGATCAGCGGGGATGGGTAATTAAGTTCCTGCCTAATCCCAAATGCATCAGCCGCTGGGACAACTCTTCTCCGGTTCTGGCGAGTCAACGAATCAAACTAAACTAATTTCGCTCCAGAAACAAAACATCAACTGATTGCTCTCCGGAAAAATAATCTTAGAAGTGCGTCCAGAAATTCAGCGGCCACTGAAACATGTGTGGCACATGAGATTGCCACCAGACCCCAATACCCAGGCGTTTCTATATATGCCTGTATATACACATGTATGGGGGTTCCTATTGCTTTGGTTAATGTATCTGAAGCGAATGTAGAGAATGGGGTACAATTGCACTGTAAACATACTCATATATATATATTTGTTCCCAGTTGAGCGATATGAGATCTCGTCTCTTGAGTTCATTGTTTCTCTTCTCTCCTTAAAGAGGAACTCGGACTGTGTTTTGCTCCAGTCTGCATAATTATAAAGTGCACTCAAGTTTGATTTTGAATTTGTCTGTGGTACCTGCAAGCTCATCATTAAAATGCAAGCACAGAAACCAAAAGACACCTGAAATTAAGGTTTAACTTTGGGTTACTTCAAAAGAGATTAACGTAAAATCAAATTATATACAACTTCCTGTAATGATTACTAAATCTAACATAAAACCTTGAATCCAGATAAGATAAGCAATGTTATAGGAAAAGATTGATCAGTCTTAAAATACACTTAACTAAAAGGTTTACTAATAGTAAATGCCATGTAGAACTTAAACATAAATTAAAGTAAACACAAATTTCTGTGATGACCCAATTATCACAGCTTAAACCCACGACCAGTAGCCACTCCCCCGCCGCAGCAAACACGTACACCTGCTCACTCAATCATGCCCAATTAGCTCCCGGCAGATGCCAGAGAGAATAAAAGTGTATGTATTCAGCTGTAAATTGGCGCAAGTGTGCAAATCAGAAAAATGTGACTAAACCTTGTTTACCAACAACAACAAAAGGCATACAGAGAGCATAGGGAAATGGGGGAAACGAGAACGCAGATTCATATGTATACAAAAAGAAACAAAACAAATTAGCGAAAAAGTCGAAAACCGGTTGCTGCCGGCTGCCGGGGTAAGTCACTGAAAGAAAGCAATGGAAGATGGGGTTCCAAAACCGGTTCATTGAACCTGCACAGCACTGTTGGGATACACACACAGAGACATCGAGAAGAATAGAGCTGAAGAGAACAATTAGATGCCATCTCGACTATCACAAAAAATGTTCTTTATTTCTGTCATTTGTTTACGCAAAGCCTTCCTAGTTGAGCAGTGCTACTTGCTTACGGAACATAAATGTAAATAATCATGGCGAGAGCAATGGTAAATGCAGATGTCTGGAAAAATCGATTACTGGCACGATTATGCGCTTATGCTTAGTTTGACGAATAATTTGTGATTGATTACTGATGGTGGATGTGGCGATGCTTCTTAATCGGTGGCATCGGCCTTGGCCACGGCGAAGGGCTCGGAAACGGGGAGGGTGCCGCTGTTGGTGATGACCACATCCTTGACGGGACGGTCGCGGGCATCCGTGGCGGTGTTCTCAATCTGGCGCACCACACTCATGCCGGAGATGATCTTGCCAAAGACGACGTGGCGTCCATCCAGCCAGCTGGTCTGTTTGGTGGTAATGAAGAACTGGGAACCGTTGGTGTCCTTGCCAGCGTTGGCCATGCTCAGCCAGCCGGCGCCGTAGTGCTTCAGCTTGAAGTTCTCATCCTCGAAGCGTTCGCCGTAGATTGAGCGTCCGCCGGTTCCGTCGCCCTTGGTGAAGTCGCCGCCCTGGATCATGAAGTCCTTGATGATGCGGTGGAACTTGCTGGCCTTGTATCTGCGGATGTCATAAGCAGAGAACGCTCGTTGTCTCAATTGTTTCCATTTTCCCCGCTTTGCTACGTCCCCACACAACCAGCCATCATAGAGCCACGTAATGGCTTCGCCCGACGAGCCGCGCTATAACCTACAATCAGTAGGCGTCGCACTGGTGTGCGTGTGCCGTTAATCAAGCGTACTTACCCCTCGCCCTGGGGCTTCTCGGCCAGCTCCTTGAAGTTCCTCACGGTCTTCTCCACGGTCTTGCCGAACAGGCCGATCACGATCCGGCCGGCGGGCTCGCCGCCAATGGACATGTCAAAGAAAACCTACGCCATCGGAATCGGTTATTATTAAAAATCACATCTCATCTTTGATTTATTGCCAAGCGAGTGTGCGTCAGTGTGCGCGAGAGAGAGAGACGGCACATGTATGTATGCTTGTGTGCCATTCCTGGGCAAGTGGCAGGACGAAAATAAATATGGGCACCCACCTTGTCAGTCACTTTGGGCCCTTTCTCGTCGGCGGACACAATGCCGGCCACTAGGGCCAGCAAGCACACGGATAAAAACAACTTCATCGTTCCAAAATTTTTTCGCAATTGAAAATTGCAGCGTCTCTACTAGAGATGCAAAAGCGTCGATTTTACTGTCGATAAATAATGCTAAATGTGTCGATAAAAGTATTTTTATAAAATCTGTCGATAAATAATGCTAAATGCGTCAGAAAAACAGTATTTTTATGACATCTGGCCAAATGATTCGAATATTTAGCCGCTGCTAGAGATATAAAAGTATCGATTTTCCTGTCGATAAATAATGCTTAATGTGTCAGAAAAAAAGTATTTTCATGACAACTGGCGGCATAATTTGAATATTTACACCTATTATAAACATATTTGTAGTGAAATTAACTAAATCGTATACTTAAAACATTATTTTAAAGAACATTTAAGCATTTTTTACCAACAGTTTTACAAATTAGTAGAAAGCTAGGTAGGTGTTCTATTTTGGTATTTTTATTGCGTCCACGGTAAGGCCCTATTAATTTTGACTGATTGTTGAAATTCGGTTTTTTATGATGGAATTGTCGCCAAACAATCAGATCGAGGACAGAAAACCCATCCTAACAGCCGACGGACTGGTGCAAACATCCAACTCGCCCTTCGAGCCGCCGACCGTCTCGCAGGAGACGCAGACGTCAAACGGCATTGGTGGCCAGAGCCAGTTGACAGTCGACCAGCTTGACATAGAGATTCTGCCGATTATCTACGACATCGTGCGCTGGTGGGTTGCTCCAACCACTTGAGGGGAACGGCTCCGGATACCGGCCGTTGCTCCCGCCGGACAGTGCTGAAAATAACACCAAGGCGTCAACAAGTGCGCATTTAGCTTTGACCTTATATAACCCGGCGTGTTGCTCTTGTGTCTTGCAGTGTGGAAAAGGATCCCTTGGAAAACGCGGTGAAGCTGCGCGAATCCCAGGACTGCAACCATAAGGTAAGAAAAGGATGGTACAACTGCCTCCAGAGTAATTTGTGAAATCTCTGCAGATCTTTGAGCTGCAAAAGCGCTTTGAGTCGGCGAGGGAACAAATCCGCCAGCTGCCTGGAATAGATTATAACAAAGAGGAGCAGCAACAGCGATTAGAACTGCTTCGAAACCAGCTTAAGCTCAAGCAACAGCTGATACGAAAGTTCAAGGACACAGAGTTCTAGTCAAGCAGCGGAAGAGGTCTAAAAGAAGGCAGGAGAGATGGTGCTCCGACTACTGATGCGCTACCTAGCCAACAATGAGCAGCTCATCCAGCGCATGGCGGAGAGTTACCCCATGAGACGTGCTGCTCAACTGGCGGTAGCCCTGATGTACCGCACCAAGAGTTTGGCCCGGGAGCAGGGACTGCACGAGATGACGCCGGAGCGCTTTAAGTAAGCATCTCCCCTCCCTCCAAATGGTATATCATAATAATAATTGCTCTCTATTGCAGGTCCTTTGTCAATATGTTCAAAAACAACGTCCGACAAGAGCTAGAGGGAGTTAAGAAGGAGCTCAATAGCAAGAAAAAGAACTAAAATGGACAGGGCAATGATTGTAAATACACGGCAAACTAAATTATATAGTCAACTTTAGTAACACAACTGAATTAACTTTAATCAAGAAACATTATTTAAGCAATAAAGAAATTTGTATCTGTCAGTTTAAGTCTAGTTTGTTTGTAAAATTAGGTTCGGTTCTATGATATGTTCGTCGTTGCTGGTAATAAGTTACATTTTCTAAAGATATTAGATTCTCAAAAATAGTTTTTTATTTAATAGTTTATGAAATTAGGTAATCCAATTCGTGACAATGTCAATTCTTAGTTTTCTTAACTCTAAATAACAAAAGAAAATAAGAAATTCAGATTGTCGACTCTGAAACAACCATTTACACATTTTTGCCATCCTTAGATCTAAAGTATACAAATTAAATTAAATTTCTTTATTCACAAAGTAAGAAGAAAGCATGCCAAATATTCTTGAAAGTAAGAAATAGAAATGAATTCAGCTTTGAAATAAAATATATCAAAAAATAGATTAAGGATCGCATAAAAAAGATTAAACTTTGTTGAGAAATAATTTTAGAAAGCAAATTTTGCCTAGGGCAGGTATCTATACAACTCTTTTAAATTTTAGATTATAATCATTTATGAAGTCGACAGAAATTCACCCAAACCGCTTGAGGCTAGAAAATACATTTAAATAAACAAACTCATGGATACATAGATATAGATTCAAAAGTGAAGCGTTTTTGTGGCCCTGTGTTTCTTAGGGTCGATAGACTGGCGTTTATTAATTAAAGTATGAAAGTAAAGGATGTAAAATTAAATTAATGTTGCAGTGACCTCAAGTAGCTTAAACCTAGAGAACAAAAAAAGAGAAGATCGAATTCGGTTTGGCATTTCCAGCTTACCAACTGTATGTACTTTAGACAAACGGAACGGAACGCGGCACAATATTACCTTTTCAGTTTAGGAGTCCGGACTCGGGAGTAGCAAAATATGTATATTCCTCCGATACGCTTTGGGGCTTCCAAAAATACTTTTGCTTACGTAACTAGAAAGAACAAAATGGGGAGGCGGCATGGCACGCCTCACTCGGTGAGACTTGCCCCCGGACCGGCATCGGCCGAGGTGGACGAAGCCATCTCACTTAGGGGCAGGCCCAGACCGGCCGAGCCGTTGGACGAGAGAGTGGGTCGATTGTTTCGTTTCCGCTTGCCGCCACGTCGGCTGCCGCCCTCACGCTTGTCCCCATTCTGCTTCTCCTCGCCGGCATCCTTGCTGCCCCCCGCTCCTAACGAGCTCGAGCTGGAGCTGCCCTGGCCCTGGTGTCGGTGCTGATTGTTACTTCCATTGCTGCCGCCGTTTTGGGAACGTGACTGCATCTTGGCGGGCTTCGGGCGATAGGGAGAGGCAGCAGCATTTGGCAGCGGCCGCAGAATGTTGCCTACCGCCTTCGTACGACCCTCACGGAAGACCAGACGCTGGCCGGCGCGGATGTACTCCGGCTGCTTGATGAACCTGAACTTGACGTGAGCCTTGTCACCCGTCCGCAGGCAGTCCCTCGACATGTGTATGATGGAAGCCGTCTGCCGGATGCTGCCGCAGTGCACCATCGCCTGATAGCGCGCCGAGATTGTCGTTGGGTGGTGGAGCACAAGGATCTCACCCTCGAACTCCCAACAGGCCTGCGGCTTAAGATCCTGTGAGACCATCACCATGCCCTTGCGTAGATAGGCGCGCTTGATCTTCTTCAGCGCGAAGCTCGCTGTCTGGCCACAACGCACACGAGCAACATTCATCCGTTTGCGGTGGATGCTTTTGATGGTGATGGGCACGAATCCTCCCACTGCATCCGGTCCCAGCATCAGACCGTCGTTCAGCCGGATGGTACCTTGGAGGCAAGTGCCGGAGACTACGGTACCAACGCCCGGCACCGAATACACATCGTCGATCTGAAACTCGGCTGGCAGACTCTCGGAGCCGGCCATGCGCGTGCTCAGCAGGTTGAGGAACATCTTGAGCAGCTCGAGATTATCACCGGTTACGTTCGACACCTGGAAGATGGGGCACAGGCGCTCGCTAACGAAATTTGTGGCACTGAGCACTACGTCGTCCTGTGTCCGAACCACTACCGGCACCTTCCGGCATCCCTGCGACTTGAGCATTTTAAACAGCAGCTTCATGTTGTCCTGCAGCACATTGGCCGGGCACATGTCGATTTTAGTGACTACCACAAAGACAGGGACGGCCAGAGCTAGGGCCAGGCCCAAATGCTCCTTGGTCATGCCAATTATGCCAGCATTGGCGCCAATCTAGGTAAGGGAAGATTTCAACTTAAGTGAGCTTAAGATGCTTTTTTTGCTCCAGCCAGCACTCACCATTAACATGCCGAAGTCCGGGGCATGACCCGTCATGCCGAAGACCGTAGTTTTCAGGTAGCGCTCGTGCCCGGCCAAATCGATAAAGGTTATCACCTTGGCCGAGTTTTCGCAGATCTTTACCCAGTCGAGGTGGCCATGGTCCGGCTTGTTAACCACATTGCCTACTCCGTCGAAGCCAAGAATGTCGTTGCCCACGGAACTCGTCCGCCCGCTCTCTATCTCGTGCTTGTGACGGAACAGACGCTGCCGGGCATGGCCACGTCCATTGTCCAGCTCCCCGTGGGTGAGCACGCCCAGTAACGTAGACTTGCCAGCATCCACATTGCCCACAACTGCCACTCTAAGTAATGAGGGAATTGCTAGGTTTATGCGATTTTGAGGAGATGCTTTTTCTCCCTTACCGAATCTCCATAAAGTCGGTTGTCTCTATGTGCTTCCGTATGAGGAACTGGGCCGATTGACCCTTCTCTGCCCGCCGCTCACGCAGCTTGACGACATCCGCATCAATGTTGGCCGCCAGCAGGTGGAGTGTGGCCACGGAGGCAGCAAACTGCTCCGGATTTAGGCCATTGTCGCTGCCATCTGTTTGGAAATTAATTTAATTTAATAGTTAAACAAAGAACGAGCTAAATCTGCCGAGTTTGGGTTTCCCAATTCAAAAAATTAAATTGAGATGAAAAAGAAAGCTATTGCATCATCATGCAACATCTCCATTAAGAACTCACCCTCGCCCACGCCAATCTCGTAGATGGTCTCGCCACAGTTGTCGGCGATGCGATCCTGCAGCCGCTTCTGCAGCAGCTCCCGCTGCTCGTCGCTGGGCTGCACCAGGACATCCTTTCCCCGGATGCTGGAGTAGTCAACGCTCAGGGCGGCCATCTGCTGTGGCAGGCCGTCCACATTGAAGATATTGCTTCGGGCCGTCTTGATGCCCACTCCTACGCCTACTGCCACGCCCCGCCGTTCGGGGCACTCTGTACGTTATTCATAGTGCTAATATTTATCGGTTGCCTCACAGTATCCGTGGAATCATTGCCCTCGGGGTTTGTGTATGTGGTTGTGCAGGATGATGGCGATGCAGATGCGTGATGCTTTTTTGGTGAGTTCTGCAATGACCAGAAGAAAGTAACCAGTCGTTAGGATCATGATGCGGACACTGGACTGGATCACTAGAAGGTCCCAACCTATCCTACTCCCATTTGGCCAAGTTGTGCTTGCGTCTTCTGTCGTGTGTTATTAGCTTGCATCACGATGATGAAATAAATGCGAAGAAGCCACCGCAGCTGCTTTTATAGGCTCCCCGGAGCATGATGAAATTTGAAGCTTGGCATGATGCAATATTCGTTGTTTACGAGAAAGAGAGTCAGGTCAGTCGCTCTTAGGAGAGCACAGGAAGAGAGGTAGTTGCAGGAAGTCATACAGTTCAGAATTCTTCGCCCATTTCGTTCGAAAGCGAAATGGCCGTTATCAGCGCTGCGACGCTCTGCTATGCGAAAATTGTTGCAGTTGCTGTCGCTGCCGCCGAGCCAAAAAGCTTGTTGTTTAAAAACAGCTGATATGCTTGTCGATTTGTTTATATAATATCACTTTGTTGACGTACACAAAGCGCGGATGAATAGCAACAAATGAGATTTGTCAATACGCATTTTTTGCTGTTTATTTATAGCGGCAAACAAAGAGCGCAGGTAAACTTTATATATGCCAAACATATTTACTAAATACATATGTACATGTATATGTATACGTATGCATATGTGTACTTTTGTATGTGGCAAACCAAAACAAACAAAACTAGATTATTATGCGCTAATTTTCTTGCTTGCCAGCTATGGCGGGAGGTCGGGGAGGGTCGTAAAGTTCCCATTGAGTAGCTTTGTAAACGCAGAATCAGCTGAAATATCCATTTCGTCTTCTCGGTCACAGATTAAAAGTGAAAGGACATTTCGCACAGCACTGTTCCTACGCACCACAAACGCTACCCCTGCCACTTACATTTCATGTAGCCTTATTTGCTTCACCGATCAGTCGGGGGCTCTGCGATAGGGCTGGAAATTTGGCAATCCAAAATGTATATAATTTGTTTAGCTTTTTCGTAAAATTGTTTTACGTGTCCCGAACTATGAGACCGTGGCGCGAGCGTTGAAAAATACCATGGAACGGTGAGAAAAATATACCCAAAACATACCATGAATATACTGTTAAGGTAACGCTAGCTTTTATCGATACTACCGACAAGAGCACACATCTCTAATTAGCTTAAACGACAAAATATAAATTTCTGGCCGTTGTGAAATAAATACTGCATTTAAACTAGTCGCTCCCTCGGCTAAGCAGTTCAGATATGGACGGTGACAACATGGAAGAGAATAGTTCGGAATGCGCAGTAACCGCAAATGACTCATCGCCTCCGCTGAATGTACTGTGCGCCATTTGCAACGAGTTTTTCCGTGCGAACGACACAATTTATTCCACCACTCAATGCGGTCACGTTTTCCACAAGGATTGCCTCACCCGATGGCTGAACAGATCTCTCACCTGCCCGCAGTGCCGGTCCCACTGCCACCGGAGTCGTGTCCACCGAATTTACCTGAACTTCGCCGAGCGCACCGAGCTTGACGATGTGGAGCCGCCAAAGATGCCCATCCAGTGGGTGCCAATGGACTTGGAGGTGGACAGTCCCACGGATGCGCACCTGCCGCCCGAGGGAGCCATCCAGTGTGGGACCGACGAGGACGGGCATCCCACATATGTGGCCCGGGCTTATTTTAGGGACGATCGACTGCCATCAAGCTATGTGCCGGAAAAGAAGGCGGCTTTCGGGTCGTGGAGCTGCCGGGCCTACGCTCTCACCGAAGACGTTGAGCTGCTGGTGCTGAGCGACTGCGACTACAAGTGGGTGCCCGGCCAACAGGGTAGCCATCCGAATGATGCCCTCCAAATCGGATACTCGGAGATTGGCGAGGTCACCTACACGGGCCGTGGTCTGTACGAGGGTATCATGCGGCTGGGCAAGGTGCATCCCTCGCATAAGGTGATGTACATACCGCACCAGGGCCAGGAGGTAAACATCAGTACCTATGAGGTCCTGGTGGTCACGCCTCGCGAGCAGGCCGAACGCTGAGGATTTACTTTGATTGCGTTTTTTATCAAAATCTCATATTACCACTATTGTTTATGGTATTAATCTGTGTTATTTATGTATGTAATGTTAAATGAACATTATCGAACTTTGTCTTTGAGTAGTGAGGTCATTTTTTTCGGCTCAGCTTAGCCCTACATAACTTATTTCTTTAGTTCGAGGCCTGGGAAAGACCACCTTAACGTTTTAATAGCTTTGCTTGAAATATTTCTATTACTCCTTTTTGATTACTATATTGTATTAAAATATAGGACTGTATTTATATACATTTTAATTTTTATTATTCTTAGAGAATATTTATGAAACAAAAAAATTAAATAAATGATCTACATTACTTTTGTTGAGAATAATTCTTGTATTTCTATTATAATTTATTTAGTTTGCTTATAATGTCGTAATGGATGTTGGTAGATTATTATTTATATTATCTTTTTTTAAACTGGATTTTAAAACTATCGTAAAAACCGCTGTTACTTGATTTTTTAATTAATCTCTGGATACACATATAAATGTATATAAATGAGTCAGTCACTCCCAGAGGATGTTATCTAATCGAAGCTGTTTAAATAAAACAGAAACAGTACCTAAAGTCATTACATTTTCACTTGAATTCGTTAAAATTTAAAAATTTGCTTACTATTTAATAACTAACTCTCAAACCGGGAAAAGTCCTCTCTTGATATCTTTAGTAAAGCTTTTTTTAGTTTGTTGCAACATTCCAACATTCGTCGAAATTCCATCAAAGCTCCAATAAGTATGCTAACGCATCAATTCCGAAAGGTAATACCCTTTCTCAGAGGAAAATAAAGCTCAAAAGTCATTATCACCAGTTTAAAAACAAGACAATATAGAAACATAGAAACTTCATGAAAAATGTCATCTTCAAAATATTATTTGTTTTATTAAAAATTGGTAAGACGCTATGTATAATCTGATTAGTATTTTGAACCTACGCATGATGCTGAATTATGCCTAAAAAAATGGGGGAGAGGGGTTTAAGTATTATTTATTTATATATGACTACTAGTAAAACTATACAATTTATATTTCTCTGCAATCTGCAATCTGGCTGAGCTTTGTTGTTCCAACAAAGGGCCTCACAAAATTTTCTTTAAAAATACCTTTAGTTTGCAGGCTTGCGTATGTGTATGTATAATTCCTTTAATAACTCTGCTGATTCTGCACTGTAACATTGACATTTAATATGCTTATATATTTGTGTATGTATATATTTAGCTAAAATACAAATTTATTTGCTCAACGACAACGTAGGTGCTTTTAACGATTACCCAACGGGCTTTGATTTTGTTTCAATAGAAATAGGATTTCCCCTTCTTGTTTCATTGACTTTGTACTTAGTTTCTAAACAGATTGTATAATATATAAATATAAAAATGAGTGTGTGTGTGCTTATGTGGTGTGTGTTTTGTGTGGGACTAAATAAGACATTTATATATATATTATATTTACAAATTGATCGGATCCGATGTGTAATGCATGTGTGTTCTGTGTTTGTTTTTGAATTTTTAGCTTGAGCCTGGATTTGAGTTGGATGCTTGGTTTGTTTTGGTTTGACATTTGAGCTCGGGTTGAGACGAGAAGCAGTCTACGTTGTTATACACCTCCATTAGGATACATTTACGGCTAACAATCTAGGGGCGAACATGCAGGGAACAACAAATTTGAAGAACATTTGGAGTAGTTGTGGAAGTGGTTGACGGCTCTGGTTCTCGCTCTTTCTATCTATAAACTATATTTACTAGTTTACAAACGCACTCTTCTGTCTCATTTCTGCGCCGACAAGTAGTTCATGTACTTAGTGGTCTGCTGGGCATTTCGCACCAGCTCACTCTCCTCCTTTCCTGAGGACGGTTGCTCCTGGCCTGGACCGTTCTGACCGCCTTGACCCTGCCAGTTGCTATCGCTTTGGGGCTGGTGTATGTCCGGCTGAGAGCGACGTGTAAAATGGCGATGTCGCTGGTGCTGATGTTGCGGCGAGGTCTGCTGGCGTCGATCAAAAGTGCTGGACGCTTCACTGGCCAAGCTGCTCTGGCTGCTGTACCGCGGAAACCTCGGACCACCACCGCCTCCTCCTCCTCCTTGGGTAGGACTTTGATTATACCGATAACCAGCAGACTTATCCATATGCGACTTTGAGGGTCTGGGCAAAGTGCGAGCCCTCGAGGAGCTGCGACTATTGGACTCCGGTCCGTTGGAGTTGTACGCACAGTTCTCATCCTGATAGCCGCTATTTATGGCTGTGTTGGAGCGCCGCCAAGTGTCGCTGTGTATTTTCTGGTGTCCTCCGCCCTGATGCTGCTGTTGCATTTGTTGCTGCTGCTGCTTCTGGAATCTCGGTGGCTTGTCGTAGGTGTTGCGATTGTGGAACCGCCCACCTCGCTTGTAGTTGCTGCCGCGCTCATAGTTGCTGATGTAGGAGCGCTCGCTTCGATCGTCTCGATCTCGCTGATCCCAATTCGAGTTTACAATGCTGTTGTAGTTGCCGCCTCCGCCGCCGCCGGTCATGTTGCGCTCGTGCCGCTCCTGCGAATGTTTCCTCCGATCGTGGATACTGTAGAGACGCAGGTTACCGGCTCCCTCGCTGCGAACGCTGTGCTGGTCGTCGTCGCAGTTCACGCTGTATCGCCGCTGCTGGTCGCGGGACCTGCCGTTGCTGTGGTCGCCGTCGTTGTTGCGGTTGAACCGCGTCTTCCGCCAACTGGGTAACGGCTTGCTCTCGTCGCGGTCCTCGTTGCTGGCCATGGATGGATACTGGTCGGAGTTGGCGCTGTTAATGATAAACGGATAAAGGTTAAACACGTATTTCATCTATGAATAATTCATATAAAATTTACCTCTACAACTAAACAATAAGCAATTAAATGTATAACTTTTTATTTTGTTTTTCCGAAGAAACAAACGCTTGACAAATAATTAAAATCAAATTTAAAGAAAACATATTTGCAATTCTTGTTTTTTTTATACACATAATTAAAAATTTTGTATTTAAGTAAATACTTGATTTAATATCTTTTCCTTGACTTACATATGGGACTTGAATCAATCTTGGAAAATTTCCTATAAATAAATCACAATTGGGCTCTTGAGTTAGTTTCTATGGGCAGTATAAAGGCTTTATTCCATATTAATCATATGAACAGAAGCCAACAAAAGAAATTTAATTGGATTTAAAAAGCCCACCTTCAACGAGTAGACATTTTGTTGATTGATTATATTGATCAATCATCAGATTCATTTTTTAAATGAAACGATCTAAACTTGATTTAAAAAATTGGGCAAGGTATTTCTTTTTGTATGAATTAGAACTAAAAACGAAATAAACAGATCTGAGGTACATACTCTATGCTCGGTGGCTGTTGCTGCTGCTGGTGATTTGTCGCCTGCTGCGGCTTCAGGGGCCGTGAAACCTGGCGTGGCTGAAAGCTACGTCGTCCGTGGCGGCCTAGTGGGATGGAGTTGTTAGCCGGATACGGATGAGCTCCTCCCTCCGTGTACCGTTCATCTCCCTGTTCCGACTCGACGAAACCAACGTCGTAGAAGGAGTCCTCACAGACCTGCTCGCTCCACTTCTTCGTCGACGACGGTGGATCGAACGAGTCTTGATCCTGGACGGAGGTGTTAGCACTGCTGCCGTTCTCAGACTGCTGGTGCGGTAGCAGTTGCTGCTGCTGCTGATGTTGCTGGGGGTTGACATCTCCACTGTGATGCTGGGGACCAGAGCCGTTGTTGTTCACACCATCCTCTTCGCCATCTTCCACTACCAGGTAATCAGTGTACATCGCCTCCAGATCGTGCCCGATATGCTTAAAATGGCTATAAAATAGATCCAGCACCATCAAGAGCATAGCCTTCACCTTGGCTGTTAGCGCCGGCTGCATAATCAAGTGCCGGCGGACGTGGAAGAGAAGCAGGTCGATCTCCACCTTGTGGCGCTGGCGCATTATCTCCCCGTTTAGCGTGATCTGCGAGAGCACCAGGCGGGCAATTCGAGTGCCCAGCACCACCGAAGTGTCGTTCAGCTCGCGGGTTAGCAGGTCCAGCAGGGATTCGCCCAGAATGGTGATAGGGGCATTATCTGCCAGCCGCACTCTGTGATAGTACTCGCCCAGCAGCGTGATAGAGTTATACAGACGGTTCTTGTCGTGCATTCGGTACGTGTCTGCGTTAAGGAAGTTTGTCTCCAGGATCTTGAGCATGGCGCTGCGAACCTTTGTCTCCTTCATGGCCAAGGCGTCGAAGTTACGTGACGAGAAGAGCAGGGCGAACTTCAGGGCCGTGTCCCCATCTCCAAGTGCCTTGTCGTTTAGGTAATCCATGGACTCGCTGTGTGGTAGGTTTGATATACAACATTTTGATTAAAAGTTAAGCAGTACAACACGATAGAGCAAAAAAAACAGAAAAACATAACATTTTCATTGGTAACTCGAAATTCAATGTATAGGAAATCCCAGAAATACTCTTTGACTAACTACTTCTTAATGACATGATAAATTTCGTATCATTATTTTCACAATTGTTTGTATGTGACTGCCACCTATGCGATCGCATTATCTGATAAGCCCAAGCCAGCCAACTACTATATTTGCTGAGACATTAACTCGAGCATGAGTCGCGAGGGGAAAAAATGTTCACTTTGAACTGATTGGATGGCGCCGATGCCTCCCTAGCCGTGATTATTTATATGAAAAGTTGTAAATTTTTAAGACACGCTGACGTCTAAGCAACCTGGTCGCAAACAACCAACTCTCGTGCACACATATTTACATCTACAGTGCGTTTCGGATATGAATAGGTATAAGTAAATATTTGACAATTTTTAGATGGAGAGAAAAATAAATTTATAATTAATATTAATCAATATATTTATACAAAAACTTAAATAAGGTCACTAAAGAAAGTTTATTGACTTCAATAATAAGTTTTAAACGTATCATTACGCATGATTAAATTTTCATAGGTTTTATTTTTAAAACCAAGCGTGGGACAAATCTTTATAAAGTAGAACTGTAAATTTATTTATAAAATCAGTATTCCTATAAAGTATAGTACCTTAATTTCATCATATGGGAAATAAAGTCCCACAAAAATTATAGAAACCTTTTATCAGGGATTTCTGAGTTCTTCTCATATGCCGGTCATATCTTAAATGAAATAATATGTGCAAATTTCACCTAATCGCTATAAATAAATCAATTACCACACAATTATTGACCTATCCCGGAAATAATTGTACTACAAGATGATTTATGGGAAGTCTAGGGTGATCGGTTATCGAAAATGATAAGCATGCAACAAGTGGTGGTTATCGAGGAAAATTATATGGAGGAATTTAGGGATTGTTGTTCAGTGGCCTGGCTTTACAGCTTCGCCGCGCACTGTACTTTTAAAGTGTATTTATACGCGCAAAGAGGTGCCAAACACACACACACACCATTTATAATATTATTAATCATCAATGGGCCATACAGACGGCCGAGCAAACACATACCACAGCATCGATTCGTCGCGCACTATGTTGCAAAAGTCCGTCTCGATGGTCTTGATCTTGGAGTTGAGCACGATGCCGTCGTCCTGCAGGTCCAGGCCCCGCATCAGGGCGATGATGTGATCGTAGGCGCAACCACCTGCCGGTATCTGGTAGCCGGCGGCGCCGCCGGAATTCAGAATGTTGCACACATCCCGCAGCCGTGCCGCCTCCCCGCTGCTGTGGCCACTGGCAGTCGCGCTGTTGTTGTAGCTGCCGTAGGTGTTGCCACTGCTGTTGTTGCTGCTGCTCCCGCCGCCGTGGTTGTTGCTGATCATGTTAGCCATTTCCATCGCTGGCTTTCTTGCCTGGGCTGCGTTTTGCGCTGCGATCGCTGGAGGCGCTCGATTTGTTGTTGTTATCGCACGGTTGTTTGTCTGCCTCTCCCTCGCACTTTCGCCCGCCTGGTTCTGGCTATAAGCTTGCTTGTGTATGTGTGTGCCGTCGGTCCACCAAATAGGAACCAGCGTTGACAAAGGTGTCGAAATGCGCACGCAAAATTTGGCACCTTTTCGCCCAGCTTCTGCTTTAGCCGCAAGTTCAGTAATCTCACCGGGACCACGACGGTCGATTTGAACGCAACAAACGAACAGATTAAATGCACAAATCTATAACTATTCCTATTTATTATTGCTATTTGACGACTTTTATTTGTGTATTAGTGGTGGCACCGATGGCACTATCGCACTATCGAAAGCCCTCGGTGTGCTTTCGCGAATACGGCGCCAGTGCTGCGCAGTGTGCCATCGATTACTTCCCCGCTCAGTCAGGAAAATAGCTATATTTGGTCACTCACCTATATTTGTCGGACCTAGCTATTCATCTGATGAAATTTGTATTCTTATTCTGAAATTCCTGTCCTTAAATATTTCAGTATTTACAATGAACTTTCATACCAGTTCATCATTGAAGATTATTACTTTAATAACAATGTCAACTTGTTTTAAATCGATTGTTGAAGTAGAAGCCTGCCTTTATAATTGTACCATATTTTTCATATAGTATTACAAAATTGTTATTATGAAAAATATTTTATTATATATTATTTATAATGAAAAAAATTATAATATATTTAGTTTTAATTATTTATAAATAATACGACTTTATTTCAGCTAATTTTGACGTGAAAATGGAAACTCACTGACAATCCAGTGGTGGTGAGTTTAAATTGCTGGTGTGGTGAAATAACATTGCAATCAGCTGTATTACTGGGCGCGCAAACCAAGCGGCGTGCATTTGTTGTTTTTGTTTTAATTTAACTCTTTTTATGTAGATAGTTTTTGTGTTACGAAAATGTTGAACTTGAACTGCGTAATATGCGCCGAATTGTTTTCGCAGGCCGACGAGGTGTTTGTCACCGTCTGCGGCCACATGTTCCATCACAGTTGCCTGAACCAATGGCTCGATCGGTAATGTTTCCCGCTGGAGATTTGTGTTCAAGAGAACCACTAGTTTCTATGTGCGTATAACTCTGCAGCTCCAAAACATGTCCCCAGTGCCGCAACAAGTGCTCCACCAGAAACATATTCAGGGTTTACTTCAACCTGGCCAACTTAGATGTGAGCCGCATCGATGTGGGCTCTCTGCAGGAGCAGCTGGATAACGCCAAGCTGTCTATGAAGATGATAGAAAAGGAGCGCCACAAGGACGAGCAGCAGATCCGTGATCTAAAAGACACGCAAAAGAAGTGCCTGTGAGTTTTGAAGTCCTGGAGGTTCGTCGAGTAGCTGCTTCTCTACTGCCTACATATCGTTTCCAGTAAAACCATAGCAGGTCTGGAGCAGAAGGTGCAGAAGAAGGAGTTCCTTATCAGCAGCTATGCGGAACAGATCAGTATCCTCAAGAGCGACGCTCAGGTGGTGGACGCGCTGCGGAAGGAGAATAAGTCTCTAAAGGTTCAGATCCAGGCAATGGAGGGGGTTTCGGCCATTCTGGCAGCTGGTTCGGCGGACGCCGAGCGCCTGCTCAAGAACGAGTCGAACCCGCATGTCCTGGCCAACTGGGTCTCCACACTGAAGCGTGAACTGCGCCAGTGCGAGAGCAAGAAGTCTGAGCTTAGGAATGTTGTCAAAGTTGTACAGAATGATCTGCGTAAAGAGATCGACCTGAAGAGGTGAGATAGATGTCCCAAATTGTTGCAGACTTCTGATATGAATTTCTTCTCGTTACAGAAGTCTTGAGGAGCGTGTCTCCCATCTTGAGAGCGATCTTTATCGGGCACAAGAAAAGGTAGGAATCTTTGGTTACTTGCTCCTATTGTTCCTTCCTCACACAATATATTTTCAGCTTCAACTGCGAGAGAGCAAGATCATTAGTTTGGACTCCACCATTAGCTCTCCCGGTCTAAATTGCAACCTTATGGCCCTCAAAGTGGACGATAGGCGGAGCACCATCTCTCCTACAATCGTAAGTAGTTCGTGGTATAAAGGCAGCACTGAATAACATTTCCCACACCACCTGCAGAAAGAAAATATCAAGCGCATCGAGGAGTCCACCTCGCCGTACCTCAACATAAAGTCCAGCAGTGTGGGCTTGCCCCATCTGCTCAGTGCCAGGGCTAAGGCCAAATTATCGCCTATCAAGCGAACAGATGGGCTTAATATGATGAGTGGAACCGTAAGGAAAACCACCAGTGATCTCAGCGAAAAGGTAGTAGCAAATACATAGCTAATGCTGTTCAAATTCATTAAATAAAATCTCTTTTCAGTACTCAATTTTCAAGAAGCCACGACTGGTGCTGGGCAGTTCGAGCAGCACTGGCCTGGCGGCCACCACCGGCTCCAACTTTGTCTTTAATGGCATGGGTGGTTCCGAGAAAATAGATCCCTTCGCGCAGCGCGCAGAGGAAGAGGGCTTGGCAGGCGGCCGGCCTGCAACTGTCCGGAGTGTAACCCAACGCCTCAAGGCCGGCACGCTGCGGAACTTCAACCAGGGTAAATAAGTCCACACCGCCAAGTGATGATCATTTAGAGACTGCCTCAGTTGGGGATTAGAGTGCGATTGCTATTAAGGATTGCCAATTATGTTCGTTAGCCATTGCATGGATTTAGTATTAATAAGTTAGTAGGTTTATAAAAATAAAAAATGCGAGTTGAAGCGATCAGGCTGCGATCTTCTTCTCAGCCTTGCCCGTCCACTCTTCGCGCAAGTGGACATTGCAGCCGAGATCACGTAGCGCCGCCTTGATGTCCTGCTCCACGCTGGGGTGCTCCTTCATGGCAGCGTTCAGCAGGTCTTCGACGCCAAAGGAAATCCAGGTTTCGCACTGATTACGTGACCGCGATACCATGTTGCGAATGGCCCAGGCTCCGTTGCGCTGGACAATCTTGTGCTTGGGATGGGCGCGTAGCGCCTCTACGATCACCTCCGCAATGCCGGTATCAAAGAAAGCGGCACTGTGCTCCTGCACCCGAAGAGTCAGCGTGGTCACGCAGGCCAGAGCGGCAGCTACGATGTTCTCGTTGGCCTGATGCGTCTCCAAAAGCTGTTTGATAATGGGGGCCACACCCTGCTGGACAATGTGTGCCTTCACCGAGTCATGACCCGCCAAAGCCCGCAGTAACTTTAGCGCCTCTCTGTTCAAGCGCACTTCGTCCAGATTTTTGCTCATGATTTCGAAGACCGCCTTCAGTCCACCCGCCTCATCGATGGCCGTGCACAGTTCCTGGCGCACTGCCAGCGTACCAATAGTAAGCAGCAGGTCGGAGAGCACGTTCGGATCCTCGTAGGCAGGAAGCAGTTCCACCAGTGGGAGGAGCACCTCGCCTGCTATTTGGCGGGCATGCTCGTGGGCGCAGCCAAACTCCACACGGATGTCGTCATCCAGCACTAGGAAGCGGAACACGGCGGTCAACTCGCGCACCAGGCGCTCTTTCGACTTGCCAAGCATTGGCTTCATCAGCTTCAAAGCGGGTGTGTTCATGATATTCTGCCTGTTCATCTCATGCATAATGCAGGCCTTCTGCAACCACTGCAGCGTCAGCAGGGTTATATCCTCGCGCCCCTCCTCTTTGAGAGCCAAAAGCTTGAGTACCACGGCCATGGCCTCGGCATCGAACAGATCAGGCTGTCTGTTGGTTAGGCTGTTAACAGCTTCCAGGCACTTCTTGATGAGGGTTTCGTTGGGAGAGTCCGCGGCGAGGGATTCTTCCAGGAGAGTGATCAGGGCATCATGGGCGCCGTTCTTCCCGGCCAGAACTCGATGGGCTAAGGATTTCTGGCACTCTGCTGTCAGGGTGTCCAGCTGTCCCAGCAGCTGGGCCGAGTCCCCCGCCTTCTGGCCAATGTGCTCCTTGATTTTGTCCACAGTTTCATTGATGACCGGCTTGCCGGTTTGCGGATTGATGGACAGATCCTTAATGATGTTGGCCAGGTTGATGCCCTGCCGAAAACTGGTCAGTATCGATGCGTGAAACGCAATTGGTTAATCCCACACTCACCTGCGCCTCGAACTGCTTAATGGTTTCCTCCTTGGCCTCCGTCGGCGTCATGGAGAACTCCACCACATTCTCCTGGACCACATCGTCAAAGGTGTCCTGAGATATTACCTTGGCCATGACGGTAGTTGGCTCTATTCTGGCTAAATCCTAAGCAGCTGCAGGTTACTTTTCAAACTTTACTTTGTTCTTTTTGTCTGCAACTTCCCACACACACGTACACGCACACTCACACGCTGACACAATTCGAATTTGTGGAGTGAGGTCACACTATTTCTCCGCAATTGGGTCATACTTCCAGCTGACGGGCTATCGATACATATCGATTGTGCAAGTTGATTTAAATTTGAATTTTGAATTTGAAATAAAAATTAATTTGAATTGTAATTACAATTATTCCTTAACAAGTTTCCCTCAGACCAAGAGCCCAACCTTATAACCCTTTCCCATTTAGTAAGAGCTAAGTTAATGGTAAATTTCTTGTACATACGTCTGTATTATGGCCTGTTATTCACTCTGCAGATTACATGGAGCCTCGTGGGGGCGGCGTTCAAAGCTTCAAAGGACATTGAGAGTGACAGAGAGCCACAGGAAGAGATAGGTAAACACACGAAAAAACACACAGCGACACAGACACAACTACATATAGAGAGACAGACAGCAAAGCGCCATGCAGGATAACATGGATAACTATAATTTTTGGGTTGCTGGAAAATGGGCGGACGTGCCTCGCTCATTTTCGCTTGGGCAGCTTGTAGTCGGTCGGCGGATGCAGCTTGAGGTGGTCCAGGAACACAGGCTGCATGTCTGCCCGCCACGAGATCTCCTCGCGCACACGCACGGGGCCGTCTTTGCAGGTCAGCCAGTAGGTGCTCATCAGACCCTTGCCCTGAAAATGGTTGGATTAAGAAATGAATTATGAACTATCAGCTATATAAACAACTATAAACTACATAGACTAAAAATACAACACGGCGGATGAGCTATAAACTAGTAACCCACCTTGACATCGATGAGACCGCGATGTTCGGTCCGGAAACCTCCCACCTGCTGCAGCGAGTCATGCATCTCCTCGGTGATATGTATCTTCTGGGCCTCGCCGGTGCTCTCCATGCGTGAGGCCGTGTTCACCGTGTCGCCAAAGAGGCAGTAGCGCGGCATCTTGGTGCCCACAATTCCGGCCACTACCGGACCCGTATGGACACCGCATCGGATCTGGACAAACTCGTCGCCGGCTCTGGGGATGCGGAACACAGACGAGGCGTCTAGTAAATCAAGCGCCATTGTAGCTATCTCGCTGATGTGCTTATTCCCTGCAGGACACAGTGGCGGTGATGGTGGTGGCGGTGGAATATTCCGTGGCATAAATTACATTACGGCGCATGGCCACAAATGAATGTTAAATTAGCGCAAATCATTTTGGGGTCAAACAGCCGGGCAGTCAGCCAGGGAGGTAGTGAGGCAATGTGGAGCCGGGGTAAATGACTGACTGACTGACAGCCGAATTTGCATAAATTACCGTTTTTCACCGGCAGGCCGGAAGCCACCATATAGGAGTCACCAATGGTCTCCACCTTATAGACATCGTAGCACTCGATGCGCTCGTCGAACACACGGTAGATAGAGTTAAGGAAGGTGACCACCTGTGGATAGAATGGATATTTAATTTTCATAATTAAATAGTATTTGAACTCAATTGAAAAAGTGTAACTATAATAATTTGTAAATTAATGTAGTATTTTGATTGATTTTATTTAATATTTTGATTGATAATATTATGATAAATAATGTAAATAGTAAGAATTAATTCCTGACAATTACCTCCAACGGGGTACACTCCGCGGCGATTTCGGTAAAGCCCACGATGTCGCTGAAGTAGATGGTAACTGCCTCGTACAGCTCGGCAGGCACCTGTCAGGCGGACAATTAGAGAGGTTTAAAATCCCAGCCCCCTCGGCTTTCCCGGGACTCACCTGCTGGGTCTGCTTCAGCTGCATGGCCACGCTGGGGGGCAGCATCTGGAAGAGCAGCGAGTCGCTTTTGCGCTTCTCCCGCTTCAATTCCTTGGCCTTTTGGGACAAATTCAGGGCATATAGCTGTGGGTGGATGGGATATTAACCTAGTGGTTAAAGTTATGCTTTTGGCTTTAGCCCGGCAGCATCTTACCTGTATCGTGGCAGCGGCATTCTTTACCAGAACAATGATTACTGGGGACACCAGAAGCACCACAACCAGTATGGCAATGCCAATGGCTTCCTTTCGGTCCGCCTCCCTTAGGGTCTTATCCACATATTCCCTGGAAGATAAAGTGTTACAGATTTAAGGCAGTAGCTTTAATTGCCAGAGATTAAAGGATCCTGAGATCTTCTCTCACTTGATCATCCGTCGAAGGGCCTTCTGTAGTATTCGCAGGTCGTCCGTATAGTTGTTCATTAACTCGTAGTACTCGATGGCACTGCGTTCATTTGAGACATTCGGGTTGTTCTTCAAAAGAGTTGTGCTCCTGGGGAAGAGGTCCTTCATCAGATCGGAATGGAGCTAGGTCATCATACTTACATCTGCTTGGTGCGATGGAACTTTTTGGTATTAGTGATATTAGTGTACATATTCTTTAGCATTGGAGCATAATTCAGCGTGGAGTTGATCATCTCTCGAGCCATGAACTCGTAGCGCACATAGGACACAAAGTTCTCGGCCGTCAAGGATCCACGGCCATAATACCGGATGCCGAAAGAAGTGGCAATATTCTGGCACTCGATGCTCTTAAGCAGGTTCTTGAAACCCACCAGGTAGCTATAGTAGGATAGATACTTAAGTATATAAATATATAAAATCCCCGAACTCACCGCCACACGCCGCTGTTGTCCGTCTCCTTGATCTGCTCGTTTAGGTGATGTAGTAAGCCACGATTGATGGACGTGTACCAGTTCATCACCTCGGTAATGGAGCTCTCCTCGGGCTCGAAACGCACCCGATCCCTGAACTCATTCAATCGACTCTGGAACTCGTTGCGGTTCAGCATCATCTCCCGATCGTCCTCGTCCTCATCCGGTGCTGTGGGAACACTGATCTCGCTCCAGGTGGTCATGTTGTTCAGGGCGTGGTCCGTGTTCGTGAAACGCTGGGTTAGATTAGCCCTGATCCAAGATATGATTAATTCATATATTGATTAAAAAATCTACTATGACTCACCGCTGCTTGCTGCCGTTGGTGAATATGTAGAAGGCCACCTCGGAGCGTTCCAGCTGCAGTCGAGTGACCACTTTTCCCAAGTCTGTGGCAATAGTTACCTGGAAATAAAAGTTGCAAGCTTCTACGTAAAATTTAAATAACTTATAAAAGGGTATAAAGATGGGCCTGATGGGTCTGAATGAATGAATTATTGTTGTCTAGCTTAGTTTCATTTTAGATCAGATGCGATAAGAATGTGTAGTACGGTCATGGTTGTGTTGAATTTGTGCATACAAATCTTATCAAGGTGAAAATGACCATATCTTGCAAAGCAATTATTGCTATTTCCAATGAACCATAGTTTTAGTTGACTTCTAGCAGTATAAGAGAATGGTTCAGTTCCTTGCAAAGTGCTTCAACACCGTCTATGATTAAGTAATTAGTAAAAAGTTTGTAATTTTAATATAGAATCTGATCTATTTAATATAGACAGTTCACTAACGTGAGTCATCAATTAAAAAACATGGCTAAAAGTAGTAGGGGCCTTTTGGACCTTTGTGACGATTGCATTGTGGAGATAATGAAACACATCATTGCTGATTGCGAGTTGAGATTAAAATGTAAGAGCAATCAAGTTCCGTATGACAATTTAGTACGCTTCGCACTGGCCCACGAAAAAATATTGGAGGTGCTAAAGCAGTACTTTAAAGATCTGTACCAGAGTCTCGAGTTCGTAATTGTGGCAGAAAGCCAATGTCTAATAATAAACTTTGAAGAGTTACCATCGGGCAAAGGAAGTGACGTTTTTTGGAGGTTCTACGCTGATGCCGTTAGAGAAAATAACGTACTTTTAATTCTTAAAATCTTCTTTGACCCAAAATCGCATGATCCCGACTTTCTAGATCATTTCCAAATGCTAAAACGTGCACTGGAAAACAAGCGGAGCCTGATCACAGTAGAAATATCTTTGAAGGGTAAGTACATATATCAAAAAAAAAAAAAAAAAACCTTGTATAGCTTTTTTCTGATTTATTTACTAAAGGTTACTCCGTGGAAAGCTTAGACAATTTCGATCACCTTTTGCATTTCTATTTGGACGCCCGGGCGAGTGCAGAAACCTTGGTGAATTTCTGCATGTCAAACCCACAATTAACTTTATTAAATGTGATGACAACTGAGATATATGGAAGATTGTCCGATATTGTGCCACATTGCCACAATCTTAAGCATCTGGAATTTGTGCCGAAGGTTGATGTTGATGCCGCTGAATATGCACCGCTGGCAAAGCTACCGAAGCTAGAGGATATAACCATCCATGGAGTCTATCAGAACGGTTGGCTGTTGCCAATGCTTCAGGCGGCTGAAAAGTGGAAGAGGCCTAGGTCTCAGCCCTTGACTCTGAAACTCTGCGATACGTTACCATGTACCGGTATTGCAACGCTTGCCAGAATTCACTCCATGGAAATCTTGACCTATTCATTCGACGAACCATCTAATGGCATACTTCTAGAGGCATCGTATAATTTTTTTGAAATATCAAAAGATTCCGAAGAATCTTTAGCAACCATATCCCTTACCAAGGGTCTGAACTTCTATCTCAGCAGATCAAGGAGAGAACTTAGACTATTTGAGGGCAGAACTTCGGATATGCCCGAACTGTTGGTATTGTCAAAGCTGTTTAATGTACACAGCATACGAATTTTTAGCTATTATGCTAATATAGCCAACTTGTTCAGATCAATTATCAAAGAGGAATTATTCACTCTGAAATCATTTCACAGCAATACAGGAGTAATAAATAAAGAAGCAGCTGTCGAGCTTGTCAAAATTAAATCCATTCGATATCTGAGATGCGCATTTTCCGATTGGGAATCAATTGAACCTTTAAGTGAACTTGGCAACCTGTTATATATAAATATCACAGTTAAAGATGAGTTCAGGGCACGCCTCTTACCGACTTTTTCTGGTCTGATCAGCACATGCCTGGTTGAAGCAAGAATCGAGTGCCTTTATTGGAGCATTGCATTTTGGAAGAACGACAGGGCTCTGGAGATTCAAATGAAACATGGTTGTGACGCCAATCAGTTGATTCCTCTCTCCCAGGTTGGTGGCATTAACAGTCTCACATTTTGTGGAATTCACAAAGGACAGGTGAACGAGCTAATTGAAGCATTTGCTGCTGAAGATTCAAATGTAATTGAAGAAGTAAATCTCATAAGATTGGGTTCAATTCCCTTTGAAGATATCCTTAGAGTAGCAGAAGTTCAAACCATAAAAGACTTGAAATTTTCACCCTCAGATACAAATGGCATTGAGAAATTGGCCGATTTGACTAAACTCGAGGAGCTGACCATGTGGCTTAGTGAAAGGGCCAGCCTGAACAAGCTCTTAGACCAACTGGCTACGAAGGAGTCACCATCGTTACAATGCCTACAACTTCAAACCATGGGACTTCCGTCAGAAGAATTATTAAATATTTCTAGGATAAAGTCCTTGAAGAAATTGCAATTGCAGAATCCTCAAGGTTCTGTCGCTGAAGATTGGGCATCCTTAACTGAACTAGCGAATTCGAATATAGAAGAACTGTCAATAACTATATATCCTCCGTACTCATTTCAAAAGTTATTTGATGCATTTGCTAAACAAAAACCCACTAGACTTCACACCTTGAAAGTATCAGGCGGAAATCTTGATCAAATGGAATTCAGCTTAAAGAGTACCTGGAGCTTGGATTCTATTACTGTGTTTACCTTGCTAAATTCGGATAATTTGGTTAACCAAACCATCTCAATTGAATACGTAGGTTTTGAACTCAGTTTACAAACTCTAAAGAATGTGTTTATCCACAATCCTATAGGTTTGACGGAATGTCGGCATTTGGTTGATCTTCAGCTATTGGAGTCTTTAACAGTGTCATTACTTGATTTTGATGGTATAAGTATTCTGGCTGACATACGTAATCTCAAAGAACTTAATATAATCGAAACAAACGGATTGCTCAGCAAACTCTTCCAGGCCTTTGCCAGTAAAAGAGAGCTGAAATTAAAACACTTGTCTGTACCGATTGAATGTGTTGAAGAGTTGAACGAAGTAACGAGAATAAGATCGTTGAAAAAATTAGATTTAAAATTTACGAAAGATTTGAAAACTTTAGATCTAGGCCAGCTAAGAGAACTCGAAGAGTTGTCTATGGAAATTGAGCTAAAAGAAATCAAGAATGTTGTAGCCCTCTTGACATCCTGTAAAAATCTCGATGTACTTACGATTAAATATGAGATCCGACAAGAAGAACATTTTTTGAAGGAACTTCAGAATCATTTAATGTCTATAAGGGATCCCACACTTCAAGATCCTCTAAAACTTACTTTGCATAAAACTGATGGTTCACCAAATTTCCATGTAAGTAGACTGGTAATATTTTATATCATTATTATTATATTTTATTAATAGGTGGAAGACGTGAATGAGACCTACTTGAAGGTGTACTATACGTACAGTAAATGGGATTCCCCTACAGAAAGTAGGGGAAATGTTTATAAAAGTGAGAAAAATTATAAATAACTCAAGGCCATAAAGTTCCACGAACTTTGAATCATTAAACTACGCAGCACTACCTATAAATATATAAATTATTATTTTACTAAAGCAATCTTAAATGATTACAATGTAGATTATTATATAAGAATGTGGTAATAGAAAGCCTAAAGTGATATGCTATCTGTGTTTATTAGAAGCCGGCAGCCTTTAAAATTAAGTATACGCCCCGTTGTCCACAAAAAAAAAAAAAAATATGTAAAAATGTAGCTATTTAGTATTAGATACTCATTTGGGAAAAACGAACAAATGAATCAGTTGATTTGTATAGTTTGTAAAGTTCTATAGTTTTAACAGGTCTAGGGATTCCCCGCTTTCGGCGCTTTATTGCTGTGTTTTTCCTGGGGATTCTCCTGAGTAATCTTTTGGCCTTGTCAACAAGTCATCTTTGAACTCCTGATAAGTGGCTAGCAGCAGTTAAATTAATAGCCAACGAGATAGTTACCACCTGGTGTGGAACCCATGCCCGAACCCTTATCAAAAAGCAGTCTTATCAAAGCCCCCAGTCGTGCTATCCTATAAAAGATTCCAACCATTGGAAAGCTGGTCAGTTACTCACGATGTCGTTGCTCAAGATAGTTGGTTTTGCTCTGCTCGGTCTGGCCCTAGGCCAACTCTATCAGCCGGCCAGCACGGAGACCGTGTCCGTGTGTCCCACCAACTTCACCCGGGTGGCCGACAAGTGCCTTCTGGTGGATAAGAGTTGGAAGAACTGGTACGATTCGGATCGTCACTGTCGCTCCCTGAATGCCGAACTGCTGAGCATCAAGAACCAGACGGAACTGAAGGCGATCCAGGAGTGGCTGCCCGTGGTGGCACCCTACGATCCGGAATTCTGGACATCCGGCAATAAACTGGGGGAAGCAAAAGCCCTGGTCGACTACTACTGGCAGAGCACCGGGGAGCAGGCTCGCTATCTTCCCTGGAACCAGGGTCAGCCCACTCCCGCCAGCGGGGATTGCCTAGTGCTGTACGGAAGCGTTAGCATGTCCACCGGGCAGATGGTAATGGAGAAGCACCTTCTGTCCGTGAAGAACTGCACCCAGTGGGCCAGCCACATCTGTCAGACGCCACTGCAGCAGTTCACCACCCAGCTCTGTCTCAATCCCAGCGCCGTCTACGAGGCCAAAGTACCAGTTTAGGCTGATGAATTAGATCAAAGAACATTATTTAATAGCTTTTAAATAACAATAATAAATGCTATTAAATTAAACAATAGGTTTTAGCCAAGAATCTTTGTTGTAAGAATCTGAAATATATTAAAGTTCAATTCAAAGGTTAATTTACTTTGTGGAGGATGACAATTGCCTGCACACGCCAAAGTTAAAAATTAGATTGGTGCCTGTAATAGGTAATATTTCATACCGATAAGATAATCCAATAAAAATGATTGTCTTTGTGACGAAATTGATAGCATTTGTCACACCATCAAATTATTTGAATTTTAGTGGAAGAAACGTAAATAAATGGGACTTCATTATTTGTACACAGAGTTCTTTTGAAAATATATCATCTTATTATAAGTCATAAACAGACCTCTAAAAAATCCAGGAACTATAAATAATACGTGATCAGTTAAAACTTAGGAATATTCTAAACGTAAATATAGCTTGGATGCACAAGCTAAAATAAAGTAGTTTTATATTTTTTAGAAAAGATAATTAGAGGGCTTTAAAATAATATCATTAACAGTATATTATTAAAGTTATTTCTTTTTGATATTAGAAATCTTAATGTCTTAATGTTTCACGTCAATTTATGTTCATTGTAAGCGGACAACATTTGAAATTGCGTATACGCCTAGTTGAACATAACAAGCTGCTATAATTATCAAAGAGATCAAAACAAATTGAAACGTAGTAAAAATATGTTAAAGCAATAAGTCAGTTTAATCAAAATGAAAGATTCGGACATGATTTTATAATTTATAAAGGGTTCCTGGGATTCCCTTTAAGACTTTCATGCTGAACCTACTTGGGGATTCTCCTGAGTAATCTTCCAGGCCTTGGCAGCAGACGGTCTTCACGATAAGCTGTGAAACTGATAACAAGTGAGGTAGCTTTCACCTGGCGTATACTTAATATTTGCCCGAACTCTTATCAGAAACCCCCAGTCGAGCGATTGTATAAAAGAGACCGGCCATCGGACAACGGGTTAGTTACTCACGATGTTGTGGCCCAAGATAGTTTGCTTTGCTCTGCTCGGTCTGGCCTTTGGCCAACTCCATCAGGTGGTCAGCACGGAAACCGTTTCCGTGTGTCCCACTAACTTCAGCCGGGTGGCGGACAAGTGTCTCCTGGCGGACAACAGCTGGAAGAACTGGTACGAGTCTGATCGCCACTGTCGCTCCCTGAACGCCGGACTGCTCAGCATCAAGAACCAGACGGAGCTGAAGGCGATCCAGGAGTGGCTTCCGGTGGCGGAGCCCTACCAACTGGAATTCTGGACAGCCGGCAATAAACTGGGCGAAGTAAAAACCCTGATCGACTACTACTGGCAGAGCACCGGGGAGCAGGCTCGCTATCTTCCCTGGAACCAGGGTCAGCCCACTCCAGCCAGCGGGGATTGCCTTACTTTGTACGCCAACTACAGTATGGAAACTGGAGAATTTGTGATGGAGAAGCACCTCCTGACCGTGAAGAACTGCACCCAGTGGGCGCCCCACATCTGCCAGGCGCCACTGCAGCAGTTCACCACCCAGCTCTGCCTCAATCCCAGCGCCGTATACGAAGCCAAAGTACCAGTTTAATTTAAATACTTAGAAAATAATAAATAGACTTGCATTTAATAATTTGGTAATATTTGAAATTCATCAAAAATTGCTAGTAAAAAGTGTTTAGTAATTCGTATCTGTAAAGATATTTCTGTCATTGATACATCAATAAATAATTTTCTAAAGAGCCCTAAAAGAAATGTAAATTCTTTATTGTTATAATTTGCTGCAGAAGTTCCTCATCTTTAATTAAAAAGTTATTTTATTATGACTCTAGACTATTGAGTTTATTTTTTAAATAGTTAATTAAATAGTTAAATAAATAGTTAGTAACATAGTAACTCTTCTATATTTAGACTGATAAGTATTATTAAAAAATGTATTATGCTGTTATTAAGTGATCAATTTCATTTATTAAATTTAATTCTGTTTGTTTAACTAGCAGATTCCAATGTAAAGTTACTTAAGCTTTTTAAACAGGCATAAATGTTTAATGCTTTCATAGAAAAGGTCAATAACGCCGCAAATGCCCAACTTAAGATAATGATTCTGTGTGATAAGGTCTAGTGATAAGGTAATCTCATAAAAATTTGTTGTCTAAGCTCCAAAATTTGATAGCATGACACTCATCACGCAATTTGTTAACATTCAATCGGATAATAATCAAACTTGAAAGTTAATTAGTTTCTTATTGCGAAATCTTATCGTTAGAAATTACTTTTAGTTGGATTTTATTACTGTTTTTTATAGTGTTTCTTTAAAGATATTTTTACTTTATTTCTTAAATGCGTTCACATACATTTAAATGTCAGACTTAACAAACCAATCCCAGCGAGAAAAATCAAATAGCAAGCTCCTTACTCTTCCCTGAGCCTGGAAAAGACTTATATCGAAGCATTCTTTATTCCTTCCTTGATTTGTTTGTCCTGATAGTGCGATTCGCATCCTAACTACGTGACCCTGTTCAAGGACAGCCTCTCATCCTGTTCCTCCCTCCACTCGCAACTTTCCCCCCATCGCATCCTGCACTCGAGACTGTCGCTGCATATTTCGCATGGCGTCCTTATCAATTCACTTTGACCTCCTCCTCCTTCGCCATGTCCCTGTGGCTCATATAAGTACGTATAATATTTTCCATTCTCTCTTTCATATTTTCTAGCGAAGACTACGCATTTGCATTATAGGGGGTGGCGCGGCAGAAGGACACCCTTGAGTGCTGCCCGTGCTCCGGAATCCTTCTCGGGGCACTTACCTGAGCAAACAAATATTTGCAGGGAGCTCGAAGGAGTCCGCCTTTGCTCGCTGGTCAAGTGAACACTGACCAGGCGGCGTGTCCCTCCCCCGGCATCTACTTGGCGTTTGATTGAATTTCAGCAATAAATATTAATTACGCCTCAAAACGGACAACGCTCAACGGACCTTGTCCAGGGCGGGTATCCTTTCGCTGTGTTTGTTTCTTTTCAGCCGGAATTTACCTTCCATCTCTCACTCACCTGTGTCTCGATGTCGGCAACGGCGGAACGGTATTCCAGGATCTCTTGCAGGGTCACCGATGTTTGCACAATCAATGCCAATATTGGTATAAATGGTAGAATTATCATCTGGAAATGGATTCGCATGTCAATGAGTGCAAACTCTTGCCCACAGTGGGTGGTAGGTATTCGTTCTGGTATTAACTTAAGGATATATATTAATATATACATATATTAAAAAAGTAATATGAAGATAAGCTAAGGACTGTTTAAAGTGTAATTAAACCTTCGTAAGATGGCAAAACCTTCTAACTTTATATGGAATATTTGAAACGTAGGGTACGAAACATAATCCCAACTTTGTATTAGCTTTTTTTAAAGGAATAGCTCTTTAAAAAATGAATTCAATATTAAAACCTTGTTCGGAAATTATTATTTTAATTAATTTGTAAGAAGTTATTAACATATACATAATATCTTTAAATAATTATATCTTGTTTCTCGACCCACTGTGCCATATATTTTCATTTGTCTTCAATATGTGCCTCCATGGAGGACACCCGGGACACTCAGTCCCATCTGGGCATTATCTGGGCCTGATTGCGATGGCCAGAACCCAAAGGCAAAGGAGGCGTGATTAGTCTTTATCGTGGCCCGCTAATCGCGACATTCATTAGACGCATTCTCTGTGACTGTGACTGTGACTCTGGCCACAGGCACGTGACTCTGACCGGTCGGACTAATTAAGATGCATGCGCTGCCGCTAATTTATGCTGCTCCAGATAAGTGTGTGCTTTTCGCACCTGTACAATATATGTATATAGTATAGAGTGTAGGGAAGATACTCACCTGCATCAGCTGCAGGCGCCGTCCCGTTTTTATGGCCGGATTCCGGGCGGCGGCACTGCAGCACTTGCCACCGCCGGCACTCGATATATCCTCGGAACTAATCGAGCGCACGGAAATTTTATCGAGCTGCAGATTGTGATGGGTGGGCACCATCAGCAGGCTGCTGCCCCCGCCGGATGGGTGGTTTCCTAGGTCGTCGGGAGCCGCTCTTCCCCCACTCGATTGGCAAGTGCTAATGTCGATCTTAACGCAGGCGGAGGCCGTCCTATTGCTACCACTCCCACTCCCACTCCCGCTCCCACTGTTGCCTCCTGTCCCGCTCAAATTCAAATTCAAAGTTGAGCCCCCACTGCCGCCCGCTGGGCAAGGGTCAGGGTTCTCTCCGGGCTTGTGCGCTTTTCCATTTAGCATATTGCTGATTGTTCAGGCGAGCATATAGAGTGTCAGCGCCTCATAAACACGATTGTTGCACGGAGAAAAAAATGTTACTTTGATACCTAATCGAAGGTATGCTAAATCCCAGCAGGTATATGAATTTAATTGGGAATTAAATTCAAAGTCTTCTAGAAGATTGTTTTAGTTTAGTTTATGTTTTAACAGTACTGCAAAAAATGTTAAAGTTTTTTTAAAGAAATTGTATATTATCCCCACTTATCAATTTCTTACTTCCTTTGGACACTTTCATAGGAATATAGTTATCAACATAGTTTCGAAAATAATGTGTAAAAATTGAAATTATAATATAGAAAAATATCGTAATAAACATTGACAAATTATTGTAAAATTTGAAATATTGAAATATATATGTTTTTATACCCTTTCAGAATTTTATAATTTTAAGCAGAAGGTAAAGAAATCATTTCCGAACCTATAAGTCATATATATTCTTTCATTCATTTTTTAAATGTATAAAAGTATAAAAATTTTAAAAATTGAAAAAAATTTTCATTCATTGAAACTTTAAATTGAGTATGCAGATTTTATTATTAAAAACTAACATAGAAAAGCTTTCCGAATTAAAATCAAAGCCGTTTTGGCTTAGTTATGAGTTTTTTAAACATTGATTTATTGAACAAATTCTCCTATAAAAATATCTATAAATATTGATTCGAAAAATGCCAATTTTATAAACTTAATTATGATCGATCGATTCCCAATTCGATTCTATAATTCGATTACAAACTTAAAGTTTGGTTTCCTGTCTTGTTTAAGTACAATAATCTTTTGCAGTAGGAAAATCAATATTTGGGTATAATTTAAAATTGAAATTTAAAAATTTAAAGCTGCCAAATAATATATTAAATTAAATGGAACCAACGAGAGTAATAATATAAAGAAATATTCAATAATTAATCACTTTTGTTAAGAAATTAATCAGAATCTGTAAATGCCAAAGCAGGCAGCTGCTATCACATAGACTTTTCTCTCAGTGCATTGGCCCTAAGTGCAAATGTCACTACGAATGAGGACTGTACATAATTGTTGCGTGTTCAATTTGTATCTGATAGTTTCACTCGGGCGACACTTGTTGAGTTTCAATGGGGTCGTAATGAGGAGGGCGCGTAGAATAATTGCAAAGAATGGCACATAAGCACATGTATGTCCATATGTGTGTGTGTGTGTGCGGACCACGCCCCTGCCCAAACAACACCCTCCGGCGCCGCCACTTTCACCCCCCATCAACCCCCTTTTGCCCCATCGAAGGGACAGGACAACGAATTTGATGGATGAGCAGCCAGGCAACGGAGCGTTTGCTGACAGGACACGGGACACAGAGCCTGGGTTGGGCGGGAATTTCGAAAAAAAAGGGGTTGGGACTTTGAGTTTAATTGAAAGCGCATTTGATTGCTCCCCACAGCGGCGGAGTCCGCCTTTCGCGCAGTGTAACGCCAGAGTAAACAATTTACGCGATGGCTCCCTCCACCATCTCCGTTCCGCGCTCGTCCTGTGTGTGTGCGAGCTGCGCGTATCCTTGTGGACACATATCCTTCACCCTTTGTCATTCCGCTGGTCGGTTTACTTTTCACACTTATCAAGAGCCACATTTATTGATTAAACTTTTAATTGGCTGGACAAATGGAAATTGTCCCGAAAAAAAGTCACTGGGAAAACATTTCAAAACTCGTTTCAAGCTCCACAGCTGGGTTTATCGGCCGGATGGGGGGATGGCAACGCATTACCAATCAATCGCACAGCACGCACATAAAAAGTTTCTTTAATTTTTATTACACACGCCGCCACGCGCATTAAATTCCCACACAACAATGGTAAAAATATTCAATTATCTATTAGCGACAAGTACTCGGAATTTGTACCGTGCGTGGGCTTTTCCTTGCGTATTACTTGGGGTCGTTGCCGCCGCTTCGATTTCGCGATTGAATGCCAGGACCTCACAGAGCCAACTGAGCTTAAACCTGTTGAGTTTCGTCTGTTTATAGCAGGAGTCCTGTGGGACAGTCCCCAGTCACCCGCCGCCTCCTCCTTCTCCTCCCTCGCAGGATTGCGCACAGGGGACTCTGTTAGCCGGCTGTAAGTCCTGCAAGAGCTGTAATATACTGATTCGAATGAAGGATAAATATTTTATTATCATTCCGGTGGCCGCTGTTAATGGTAAATGAAATTAAAAATGTAATTTTAATTTTAATTTAAAGAAGGCAAGCAAAATCGTATATATTTTATTATATATTAAATATTTTTAAATCTTAATGCCTTAATGGGCACTCGGGCTCGTGAAGAGTTTGGATTTTGCGATAATACAGCAAAGTTTGACCCCTCATATTTGTATGTACATATATTTTCTGGATTTTTAAGGAATAATTTTTATTTAATTCGATATAATCAGATTTGTAAAGTCAATAGGAGTGAATTACCAATGGGCAATAAAGGTAGCCCTCAAAGTCTATATAGTTTAAGATTATTTATTTATATTAGTCCACTAACTGTCTTATTAATACAATATAGAATTATTTAAATATTTATTATATTGCTTTCATTTATTCCATAATATATTCATTATTAAAATAATTTATTTAAACAATCGTTCTCACAATTTGAAATAACTTATATTGAAGCTCTTATTTTACATTGGTTTCTGTCTCGGCTGGGAAGGAATAAAATCAAGCAGTTAACTGCTTTAATAATCGTTGAAGACCTTAAATAACTTTTATTTATTTAAAAAAAATTACTAAAACGAAAGGAAACTGACTTTGGGTAGACAAAGTTTGTATACTCTTGCAGTTCGCAGTTAAATTAAAGGATCGATCATAACTAGGCTTTAAATATTTGTATTTTTAGAATTTAATTTTATATTTATATTTATAATTATATTTACCCATGCAGAGTATTATGATTTTACTCAGAAGTTTGCAACGCAGTGAAGGAGTCATTTCCGACCGTATAAAGTATTTATATTCTGGATCAGCATCAACATTTAATTTTTGACGTGTTTTTATCTAATTTGATTAAAAGCTATCTTTTATTGTCATTATAGAATTTTGTTTTTCTAGTTTTATTAAAATCGGAATACTATATATATAACTGTCAGACAGTTACTTTCAACAGTAAGTAACTATGATCAGTTATTAACTCTGATCAGAAAGTATCTATGATCAGTAACTCTGTTTAGTAAGTATCAATGAACAGCAAGTAACTTTGACCTGGAAGTATCTATGATCAGTCAGTATCAATGACCAGTAAGTATTTATGAACACTAATAAACAATGACTTGCAACTTTTGTAACACAACACATTTCTGTAAAGTCGGAGCATGGCGAATCGGTGGACTATATATATATCAAATTTAACTAGAAACTTTAAAACCGAACAAGAAGAAGAACAAACATAATTGTATTTGCTGCGGTGCTTAAGTACACTGGTTGAGAAGCGCAGAGGAGGGCACTTTTTAAGAGAGTGAATGCGAGGAAAGTATTACACATATATATAGCTGATATAGGCACAATCGGACGATTTATAGAACTAAGATCAGTAAGTATCAATGAACATTGAGTAACTATGACCAGTAAGTAGCTATGACCAGTAACTATGATCAGTAATTAACTCTGATTAGTAAGTATCAATGAACAGCAAGTAACTTTGACCTGGAAGTATCTATGATCAGTCAGTATCAATGACCAGTAGGTATTTATGAACACTAATAAACAATGACTTACAACTTTTGTAACACAACACATTTCTGTAAAGTCGGAGCATGGCGAATCGGTGGACTATATATATATCAAATTTAACTAGAAACTTTAAAACGGAACAAGAAGAAGAACAAAATAATTGTGTTTGCTACGGTGCTTAAGTACACTGGTTGAGAAGCGCAGAGGAGAGCACTTTTTTGAGAGAGTGAATGCGAGGAAAGTATTACACATATATATAGCTGATATAGGCATAATCGGACGATTTATAGAACTATGATCAGTAAGTATCAATGAACATTGAGTAACTATGACCAGTAAGTAGCTATGACCAGTAAGTAACTATAATCAGTAATTAACTCTGATTAGTAAGTATCAATGAACAGCAAGTAACTTTGACCTGGAAGTATCTATGATCAGTCAGTATCAATGACCAGTAGGTATTTATGAACACTAATAAACAATGACTTACAACTTTTGTAACACAACACATTTCTGTAAAGTCGGAGCATGGCGAATCGGTGGACTATATATATATCAAATTTAACTAGAAACTTTAAAACGGAACAAGAAGAAGAACAAAAATAATTGTGTTTGCTACGGTGCTTAAGTACACTGGTTGAGAAGCGCAGAGGAGAGCACTTTTTTGAGAGAGTGAATGCGAGGAAAGTATTACACATATATATAGCTGATATAGGCACAATCGGACGATTTATAGAACTATGATCAGTAAGTATCAATGAACATTGAGTAACTATGACCAGTAAGTAGCTATAACCAGTAAGTAACTATGATCAGTAATTAACTCTGATTAGTAAGTATCTATGAACAGCAAGTAACTTCGACCAGGAGGTATCAATGACCAGGAAGTAACTATGATCCGTAAGTATCTATAACCAGTAATTATGCATGATCAGTTAATAACTTTGAACACTAATAAACAATGACTTGCAACTTTTGTAACACAACACATTTCTGTAAAGTCGGAGCATGGCGAATCGGTGGACTATATATATATCAAATTTAACTAGAAACTTTAAAACGGAACAAGAAGAAGAACAAAAATAATTGTGTTTCCTACGGTGCTTAAGTACACTGGTTGAGAAGCGCAGAGGAGGGCACTGTTTTTGAGAGAGTGAATGCGAGGAAAGTATTCCACATATACAGTCACTTCGTTCCGGGAATGTTTGAAGCAGTTGGAACAAATTTAAGAGCAAGCTATTTCAATGAAACTATGGAGTTATTCTTCTATATAATTTAACTAGCATATAAGTCGGAGAATGGCGAATAGGTGGACTACATATATACATATATATAGCTGCCATAGGAACAATCGGCCGATTCATAGATCTATAATCAGTAATTAAGCACGACCAGTAATTAACTATGAGCATTAAGTAGCTATGAGCAGAAAAGTAACTCTGACCAGTAAGTAACTCCAAACAGTAAGTATCTATGACCAGAAAGTAACTCTGACCAGTAAGTAACTCCGAACAGTAGGTATCAATGACCAGTAAGTAACTATGATCAGTAATTAACTCTGATTAGTAAGTATCAATGAACAGCAAGTAACTTCGACCAGGAAGTATCTATGACCAGTAAGTATATTTGACCAGTAAGTATCAATGAACAGCAAGTAACTTTGACCTGGAAGTATCTATGATCAGTCAGTATCAATGACCAGTAAGTATTTATGAACACTAATAAACAATGACTTGCAACTTTTATAACACAACACATTTCTGTAAAGTCGGAGCATGGCGAATAGGTAGACTATATATATATCAAATTTAACTAGAAACTTTAAAACGGAACAAGAAGAAGAACAAAAATAATTGTGTTTGCTACGGTGCTTAAGTACACTGGTTGAGAAGCGCAGAGGAGGGCACTTTTTTGAGAGAGTGAATGCGAGGAAAGTATTACACATATACAGTCACTTCGTTCCGGGGATGTTTGAACCAGTTGGAACAAATTTAAGAGCAAGCTATTTCAATGAAACTATGGAGTTATTCTTCTATATAATTTAACTAGCATATAAGTCGGAGAATGGCGAATAGGTGGACTACATATATACATATATATAGCTGCCATAGGAACAATTGGGCGATTCATAGATCTATAATCAGTAATTAAGCACGACCAGTAATTAACTATGAGCATTAAGTAGCTATGAGCAGAAAGTAACTCCAGTAAGTAACTCCAAACAATAAGTATCTATGACCAGAAAGTAACTCTGACCAGTAAGTAACTCCGAACAGTAGGTATCAATGACCAGGAAGTAACTATGATCAGTAAGTATCTATAACCAGTTAATAACTTTGAATGTTTGGAACTGCTAGACCTACTAGTTCTGTAACCTAAGTCCTTACCCTTATGGTAAATCTCGTAATTTACCTATTTTTTGCTGACCGTGTAGTCTTGAATATTTCAGAATATTAATATTGCCAGATCGGCAAGGCTATACTTTCAGATATCGAAGCGCATAAATCGCAGTTCGGCAACTCTGAACGCTCCTATTGTCCCGCCTCCTCGGCTCCGGCTGGTGGTGGTGGTGGTGGTGCTGCTGCTCCGCCACGAGATCATCCAGCCGAATCGGCATAATGCCCGCCTCGAGCTAGCGACTTTCCAACCGAAAAAAATAAGAGAAGAGAAAAATATGGGGGGAAAAAAAGAAACAGCCCGGCATTTGCATAACTAGCTGTAAAATTGTTGGAAATTAACAGCGCAAACGGCGAGCGATTGGCTGGAATCGGAATCCGCCAAAAGCCGGCGATCCGACGATCCGGCAAAGAGTCTGAGAAACCTGTTCTAGGCGGTAGAAAATGAAAATAATAAAGACAAGACAAGACAAGCCCCGCGCCGAAAATGAGGAGGAAGCTCTCTGCTGTTGGTCGCACCAATGGACCACCTTGACGACGGCGCACCTCGCTTCTTCTCCCCCGATCTCTCAGAGATATACCTACATATGTAGGTATCTCCTCCCGGGGAACACAATTGGATCGGGTGACTTTGAACTGGTCGGGTGTCGTCCGCGATGGTGTCCAAATTGATGTTTCAATAAAGCCTATAAATTTATGACTAACGAACCAAGTAAACATTCACCCATTCTCCCATGCCGATTGCCCATTTCCATTTCCAGTTGAAGTTGCCTCGGATTGGGCCCAGGGGATTGAGGATCGGGAATCGAAGATGGGCGAGGTGTAACGGTGACAACGAGTAGGTGTCGCCATTGGTGCCACTATGAATTAATTTGGACAATTTATGAGCCAATCTCTGGCCTGGCCAACAACTGGCCCGGAATGTGTTTAGCGGCGGGGCCACCAAGGTGGTCCATTCGTAAATTGAATTATAATTTGATACCCGACTCCCCGACTCCGGAGAGTCGTCCAACTCCATCTGGGGGTTCCGATCGCTCTGGCATATATTACCCATTGATCGGGCCACATAAATCTGACACTAGCGACACAATTAGCACGGCCTTTTCAGGCCCTCCTCCCCGATCCGTCCACTGTTCCCGTGACTTGGAACTGTGACTTGGAACTGAGACTGGAACTGGGACTGGAACAGAGACTGGAACTGGGACTGTGGAAGCTGCCACCCAAAAGTGACAGCCGCCAGAGCAAAACGTACATAAATAGTTCGCATTGCAGTGCTCTTGGCCCCAGCTGCAAGATAATGCGTAGAGTAAATGGATAAATATATCCCGACATAGTCGCAGATCATATACTCTAGGAACAACAATAGTTATATATTAAAATATAGTATAATTAGTATATACAAAAAAAGGAATCATAAGCTTACATAAAGAACAAACAATTGCATTATTTCTTTGACTGAATATTTAATAAAGTAATGTGTAAAGATTTAAGCTCCAAAATAAAAAAGTATAAATGATTTAAGTTTAAAATTGTCATTTTATAACATTTAGAATATATATGTTTAATAATAGAGATTTCTACCAGTAAATATCCAAAATAGACATTTACTAAGGTTTCTGCAAGATATTTGCAGAGTATTTTATACATTCATATTTAGTTAGAAGTTTACAATGCATTTTAAATTAATTATTGAAAATCACAAAACAAAACTAAGCTCGAAGACCGATTACCCCTTGGTGAGTGCATCAAGTGACAGCCAAAAAGCCATGGCCAGAACCGAAGCTGTTCACATGCCGCCATGCCTGGCCATGGACTCTGAAAATGTCTCATTTAAATAACTTGCATGCATTTAGTCATACTTTTTTTCTTCTGCCCCGACTCCGCTGC